ATTAAGGATGTTCGACACCCTTTTAGCCAAAATTGACGTTGTTTTCATTTTTCTGGCAAATTATCGATGGGAGTGACGTGAAAAAATATAACGATTTTGTGGTTTGTCATTCTTTAATGGCTCACGAAGTTGCGTAGTGGTGCGATAATTTTCATGCGTTTTTTCTACAGTTTTGTAATTCTTTTTAAAAGTTTAGAGAAAACGCAGGAAAATGTTCGCACCACCTTAAAACATGTCCTTGCTAACTACCATTTACACAACATCCAGGTCGTTGTCCAGTAAACCTGGAAGGATTCTCCTGCTCTCAGGGCTCGACATGGCAAACACTCCAGATTCACTTGAGCTGGAACTTCTGACTGAGTGGATCACTGGAATGGCGGGAGATCCGAGGAGTCAGGGGGATGCAGCTGCTGTGGGCCTCGTCATCATCGCTGGGAACAGTGTCAGAGGGTCTGTGGAGACGTACACACACAGGGGGTACATTGGCGCCAGGAAACAGAAGACCACGGCTGCGGTGGAGACCATCGTCGCCACTCACAGGTTCGATAAGTTCCTGAGGGAAATCCTGGGAAATTGCGGGGTTCTGCTGATGCCTGGGGAGTTCGATCCCTCGAATCACTCGATACCTCAGCAGAGTCTGCATTATTGCATTCTACCGGAGTCTTCGAGGTATTCAAACATCGTTATTCATAAATCTCAATATTGCGGAGTGAGAAAAATGAGTTGAATGTATTCTCTTGAGGTTCTTTCGTTAATATCTCGGAAACCGGTGAGTTTAGGAGAAAATGTCGTAAAACATTTTTTGTAGATCATTGAATTCTCTATGAAAAAGTTCTTCTGACATTTTTTCTTATACCTGATAGGTTCAAAGATATGAGCCGATTACTCTTTACGAAATTACAGGTGAAAATTGTTTTCGAGAATAAATGAAACATTTTCTTGAGATTCTTTTCTAAATATCTTGGAAACCAATGGGTTTAGGAGAAAATACCATAAAACATTTTTTGTAGATCATTAGATTCTCTGTGAAAAAGATTCTATAGCATTTTCTGCTAAACCTGATAGTTCCAGAGATATTCATAAATGAAAATTTCTCTTTTCAACTGGGTTTCTTCACGTTATTCTTGCGTTAATCATTTTCATCATTTTCTTGGGATAGATTTAAAACTCTTCACGGTGGTACAAATCCCTGGATCGGAAAAATAGGAGATAGAATTGTCGCTGGATCAAGTGGACAGCCTGTCGATGATATAAGAAGGGTGGCAGGTCTCATGAATTTTTCACCGCTCGACTGCTTGGAGAAAACTTTATCATGGAGACACTTCTCACCCACAGCTCCAGATACACTACCAGCATATCCGTACTTTGACAGTGATCCATTCGTTATAGAAGAGTGCCCGGATATTTATTTCGTCGGGAATATGGAGGGATACTCTACGAAACTTTTAATTGGTAAAGGATTAGCATGAAAAAGGGAAATTCATGGGGAAAAAGAGAGTCAATTTTAGTTCCAACGAAACTATTTCTTTCTACTAAATTAATCGCGTGATCATCCAGAAGGTTTAATCCTTTAATTCATTTGCATCCTTAATAAGGATTTTATTAAATTTTAGAAAATCCCACATGTTTTATTTTTTAGTTTTCATTTCGACTTTCCATTTTTGCTTCCGAATGGAAGTTTTGTAGACGTTTAAATTTTCATTCCGGATTTCATTGATCGGCATCAATCATTAATTTAGTAATATTATGAGAAGTTGCAGCTCACAATAATTAAGATTTACTTATCTTCATTGAAATTTGGAAATTAATATAATAATTGGTAATTTAAATTTCTCAATTATGTCAATAAATATAATATTAACAATATTATATTTATTAAATCAATAAATATAATATTGTTATAATAATATTATAACAATATAATATTATTATAGTCAATTCGAAGATGAATTGTTAATAAATATTTTGTCAAATCATTAGAGAAATTCCCTTAGAAAAATTCTACATTCTTCATTTTTAATTTCAAGGAGAAGAAGGACAATCGGTGAGACTGATCAGCATCCCAAAATTTTCAAGCACCTCAACAGCTGTAATTGTCGACCTGGATAGCCTGGAGACCCACCCAATATCCTTCAGGAGCCAGTGAGGGGCTCCCCAAAGCAACAAGGGTGATGCAATAAAAACTCCTCATTTTTCTCTCTTGAATTTCGTTGATTAGTTCTCAATATATAATTTATTTATACCCTTTCAATAGATCCATATTTATATATATAATATATATTTCTGTATATAGATATTTATATCAATAAATATTATTTTTAAAATGGATTAATCCATCGTTGACGCAAGTTATCCAATGGATTAATTGATCTCCGCAGTTTCGTGACTTCAAGTCATTGAATAGTTATCGACGATTTTTCACTACATTTCAAGGATGAAAAGCGGTAGCAGTTGACTAGATCATTTTTTTTTGCATTAGTCTCGTCATTTTTTTGGATTTTTTAGTGGTCAAAGTAGTTGTTTTTCTTGGAATTGTGACACCTTCAATAATCATAAGACATTTTTTTAGATTTCAAAATTCTCAACAAAAATGTCTTCACATTTTTTTCTTCAATCCAATAATTTCAGAAATATTTGCAAACTCATTTCATAAAATTCATTAATTTCATTTAATGAAATGAATTCATTTAATTTCATTTCTGTAATTGAATTGAATTTTTTTTTAAGTCTTTTTTTTCTTCCATTTTCTGAGGACAAAATTCTACATAAAGAATATATCAATAAATTGTCTCCTAAATCCCCTATTTTTATATATTAAATAATTATCTAGTGGCGAGACATTGTTTAAGATTTTTAAATTCCCAACAAAAATGTCTTGACATTTTTTCCCTCAATCCAATAATTTTATATATATTTTCAAAAAAACTTCCTCAAAACCATCAATTAATTTGTTTTAACGGTTTCTTTCCTCAATTTTTTAAGGACGAAATTCTCCATAAAGAACGTCTCAAGAAATTCTCTCCCGAATTCTCTAATTATAGAGACAAATCGATAGTTTAAAAAATTGAAGAAAACTCATTCCACACTAACGCCAATAATGTCAAAAATCATCGACATAAAAAAGTGTAAGGACTCCGAAAAACAACTGCTTTGAACTCACATCCACGTCATTCAATCTAAGCAGCATACCTATTAAATGCACAATACCGGTATCGACACCACAAATCACAAATCATTCATTTAGAAAATATCATCTCCAATAAAATCTCTTATCCTGATAATACTGGCACGAACATTCTCTCTTTTGGCACATGGTAAATACCCAAAACCCCCCACAAATGAACCCTATAATCGCTTAGCAGACAGTGAGAATAACTAGCTGAAGTGTAACCAAACGAGGTCTCACTAAAAAGATTCTCTTCAATCGGCAACATCTCGAGATCGACAGAGTGAAATCTAATAAATGACCCCTCATATCGACGGTCTGTTCTTACCCTTGAAAATGAGCCCCCCAACGCCAAAATCGCATCATTTTCCCCGAAGATATTGACGATTTGATGAGCCCTATTTTGCTTGACGTTGCCTACGATTTCTAATCAATTTTTTATTTTTACAAAAACATTAAATCGCTGAGGGAACTTATTCGTTGAACTTTCTTTCTATCTTGCATTGGACTTTTGTGTGAATGTATTCAGTATCGTCATGACTCCGACCCCCGAAAGCTACCCTAGGGATGATTTATCATTTTTCCAATGTTTAGGCAATTGTTTGAATCCAAAACTTCACTATTGACAATTCGTCAATCAACCGGATAAAATGATAAAACGAGCTGAACCCTCTCAATTTCAGAAGATGGGGAAATTTTTGATGAGGTTCTTGTAAAAATTTAGCTACCTCGCTTGAATTCCACATATTAAGCACATTAAACATATTTAAAAAACGGATTTTCAGTTTAGATCGTCTCATGTCACAACTTCACTCCAGAATTTTTCAATTCCTTTGGGTTTGTTTTTTTCAAAACCATTAAATCACCGCGGAAACTTATTCGTTAAATGGACTTTCGTGTGAATGTATTCAGTATCGTCATGACTCCGACCCCCGAAAGCTACCCTAGGGATGATTTATCATTTTTCCAATCATCGAGGAATGGTTCACCTCAGAGACCAGTGGATCTCTGAGATGAACAACCATTCCGCTTGAGCTATCATTCCACGTGGAATTGACGAGGTTCTCCTCGCTGGAGCTCTGCAGCTCTGGAGTCGAGGCCCTCGACGAATTCGGGGTGTTGATGTTTAGGCAATTATTTAGATCCCCCACTTCATTATTGGTCTTTGGTGTTTGCCCTTCCTGATCATCACTTCTCATGGCGCAGATGACGTCCGTCAACGCGACAATATAATTCTTCGCCAATGTGAGGGTTTCGATCTTGGAGAGACGTCTCTCCTTGCTCACGTGTGGGATAACTTCCCTCAGGCTCTGGAAAAAAATCGAGGAAAATTGAATCCGGATTTGATCGGATGAAGAAGCGAAAAACAAAATTAATGACGCGGAGATACTGTTAGAGGGAAAGCAATTTCTTGAGGCAATTTCGTCCAACCTGAAATGCGTTATTGAGACTGTGCATCCTCATTCTCTCGCGCTCGTTACTCTCCAGTCTCCTGAGGGTTTTCTCCCTCGGTGTACTCACGCGAGACGATTTCGAGGCTCTCAGGTTGTGCCTCTCGATCCGACGGGATGTTCTGCGAGGGGTTTTACTCGAGTGGGCCTCCTTCGAGGTCCATTCCTCCGTCAGGCTGTCTTCGTTTGTCACTTCCGATCGCATTTTTCCTTCGCCCTTCGTGAGTTTTTAAATTATTTGATTGAAATTATTTCGCATTTGGTCTTGGTTTTTAGGAATTCATTGACCATTAAACAAAAGGCTGTTGAAAGGAGGCACCGAGGGGATTCAAGCCGATTTTTTGAATTAATTTCAAGGAATACAAAAGAGATTCTTTGATTAAGCCTCTTCTCAATTGAGAAATATTTCGGGGATAAGTTGCAGATGAGTTTTGCATTTATCGAGGGAATGAGTGATTTTAGGAGAAAATGTGTGAAAATATTTTTCCTAGAGAATTTACAGAGCTACAAAAAAGCTCTTATGAAAAATCCTCGTCAACCTCTTCCTTAACGAGTTATTTCCTCTTCTTTCAAGAAAGAAATAATCAACACGCATTTTTGATTTAGAAATGTCAAATAAATTAAATTCAATGAATTAAATTTTCCGTTACTGCAATGACGGAATTATTTCATTAACGATTGATTTTAAGGGAAGTTCAATACAAAAGAGATCTCGGATTGACTTCTAAAATCCTTTATTCAATTTCATAATTATTAATTGATGATTATGCCATTGAAAGCATGAAATGAGGAGATTTGACATGATTTTTTCATGAATTCCTAGGAATATGAAAAAGATCTTTTGATGAATTCTCTTGAACCCCTTTAGTTAAGAAATATTTACGGGATAAATTGCACACGAATTTTGGATTTAAGAATTTGAGTGTAATTTTTGCGTAATAATCAAATTATCTCAAGAATGAGTGATTTTAGAAGAAAATGTGTAAAAACCGTTTCCGAAGAGATTTTTCAGAGCTACAAAAAAGCTCTTACGAAAAATCCTCGTCAAGCTCTTCTTTTACGAGTTATTTCCTCTTCTTCTTTCAAGAAAGAAATAATCAACACACATTTTTTATTTTGAAAAGTCGATTAAATTAAATTCAATGATCTTTTGATGAATTCTCTAAAACCCCTTCAGTTAAGAAATATTTAGGGAATAATAATATTAATAAAAAAAAATTGGGAAATAAATTGCACACGAATTTTGGATTTAAGAATTTGAGTGTAAATTTTGCGTTATAATCGAATTATCTCAAGAATGAGTGATTCTTGAGATTGACACTCATTCGTACTCGTTACCTCGTACCACTCACTTATCCCATAAATACTTTTTGACTGTATTTAATTATCAACATTTAGTAGAAAATGTGTAAAAACCTTTTCCGCAGAGATTTTCCAGAGCTGCAAAAAAGCTCTTACGAAAAATCCTCGTCAACCTCTTCCTTTACGAGATATATCTACTTCTTTCACGAAGGAAATAATTAACACGCGTTTTTTTTTCATTTGGAAACGTAAATGAACTTTTCCATTATTGCAATTACGGAATGATCTCATTAACGAGTGGTTTTAAGCAAAGTCGAGGCACTTTCTGTTCAAAATATTTTCACCCTTCATAAATTCCATAATTGATAGACAAGTCCCGCCTGACTGAAATAATGTTCAACCCCCTAATCCATACTCACAATTCAATACTCACCGTTAATTTTCCACGAAAATAATCCTCTTCCTCACGTCCGCCTTCTCACAGCCCGAAAAATGAAAGAAAAATACTGGGAAAGGGGGAAAAACAAACAACCGTTGCTGTTGGTTTATACCATAAACCCAATACTGGAGAAGTGGATACTTGTTGAGCCACGTTAGAACGACGACTGACGTCGCGACGCCGGGGTGCGGTCGGCGCCGCCTTTTCCCTCCCCCTGGACAATTTCGAAATCCAACGAGTGGCGCTTTTCAACTCGAGTTACGCCACAAATTTCCATTTCCTACCCCTCGTTCCTATGAAAAATCTTTAGCTCAACGGTATTCATTAGCATTTGATCTTGTCCTCCTCTGCATGTCAACTACATCAGATGAGAGTGGATGATAAATAGAGTGGAGAAAAAATGGAGAGGGTAGGGTGAGAATGGGGGATGGCTCCGAGGGGCGGGGAATGCTATTTGCAAAGGGTGAAATCGTGGCACAGGTGAGGTTTCTGATTGATCCCTCCCAATTCTGTAGCGAAGTGGTAAACTACGCTGAGAGAAAAACGACAAAGTTCTCAAACAAGTCTCCCTTGTGCCAGGAAAATAGTTTTTTGAAAATTATCAAAAAAGGATTTTTATGTGCCAAACATGCAGAGAGTGCGCCGGAATGAAAAATTTTTGTCGCTAAAATAGATTTAGTAGTTGAAAAAAAATTTCATTCTCGCAAGAAATGTCATTTCTAGCACTACTCCGTTATTCGATACTCCCATACGTATTAGGCTCCCGAAAAATCTTTGTTTTATGCGAAACAAGGGATAGTAGTTTATCGTTTCGACTATCTAATAATCACAGACAACAAATCAGTAGTGAAACGATAAACCGAGTTAAGTCGATTTTCACTATTAGCCCAGTTTTTGCTGAATATCTCGGAATCTAAGAGAGATAGCAAAATTTTTCTCATGACTTTTTTTATAACGCTCTATTGGCTCTACAAAAAAGGTCATGACAAAAATCTTTCTATCTCTTTTAGATTCCGAGATATTCGTCAAAAACTAGCCAATAGTAAAAATCGACTTAACCCGGTTTACCGCTTCACTACTGAAATGAACCCTTAAATTTTATTGATTTCCAGATCATTCAAATATATAAATATACCTATCTATTAATATTTGAATATTTTATATATTAATATTGGAATATTTGATTTTTCAATGACAACATTTTCTGAAATTTCAGTGGAATATGAACACAATAAAAATTTCCGGAATTTGACACGGAAAATTCAGACAAAAAATTTTAACAGTGTGAGGAAATTACTTCCTCATCCTCCAGATAATTCCGTCATAATCAGATGTCTCTGATTGCCGAACCCATTACTAAAAACCAAACAAGTCCACAATCCCCCCATCCAATCGCTCTCGAAAATTCATCTCGTTTCACAACTAACGTACCACCCGTTAGATGGTCCAGCACAACCGAAGTTCAATGCGTGAGGCGGGCTACAGGTGGGCGTATGACGTAATTCGCCCACGCGGAGACCCTTCCATTATCGTTGGCTACCACCACCAACCGTGTGGCACTGCAGCAGGGGGTGTCACCAGAGATGGAGATAAAAAAAATAGGAAAAATAAATACACGGAATAAAAAAACCCCCCGAGTGAGAGGAGAAATGAGTGGAGCATGTGCGTTGGTTTTTTAATGCTCTACAACGAAATAAGATACGAATTCGTTGACACTTGGGTTGCAATAATAATTCCCCCCCAGCGAAGAATGAGGATCAAGAGGGATCAGATGATTTCAATAACAATGAGAGGATTTTTCATTCTCCTCGGGGCTTTTTATTCCTCCAGCGGAGTCGTAAAATATATCACTCTCCATAAAAATGGAATTATCTTGATAACGAGAGATTTAACGAGTAAATGCCAAGTGACATTTTTTGCCGGGGAGAAAATTTCCAACAGATGTGTCTCTTTAATTTTCTCCTGAGATCATTCATCAACGAGATAATGCGATAATTAACGAGACGGGGAGTTGACAGGACAAATATTTAATGGCTCGTTCCATTATTTGCGATGATGAAGCAAATCTTTCTGGGAAACGGGGTGGGGGGGGGATGCGTGATGATGGAGCCTTTGATTATGTGTTGGAAGGGTGGCCGAGGGTCTCGAGTAGTTGGAATACTGATTAGTTGAATATGCTGTGGGTGGATCGTTCGAATTAACAGTGGAAATCATGTCCATGGGAGGCTCGATCGAATCTAGGGCTTCGGAGGCCCTCGGCGAGAGCGAAATGTATTCTTTTTCTCATCAGTGAGCAATTTTCTTTGATTAATTGGATTGATCCAGTGGACGATCGATGGATCGAGGGTTTTTTTCATCGCGTCTGATCAGAGAGGGATTGGGGCGCGCTGGTAACTGTTGTGAGTTTGTGGTTTAGCTGCGGAATTCTCGCAATTTTGTACTGGCGGAATCGATTTTTCCGGTTATGCAAATCACAGCGCTCATTTTCATACGTCAATAACAGAGTTATTGAGAGTATGTTCGACTGAGCAGAAACGATTTGTCTAGTTTCTTACATAAATTTAAGATTTTGCAGACTACGTTGCGATGGGAGAATATTCACGAGGGAGTTTTCCGCCGAGATATTTCGACGTTGATGATTTTCAGGATATCCCAGTGTCTTTTACAGTTTTGTACAGACTACGGTATAGATTCAGCCATTTTAAATCATCAAATTTGTCAATTGAATTGAGAGAAAAATTTAAACAAAATCATGCAAATTACAGTTTGCACAGAATTATTGTTTTAAACACTCGTTGTTTATAAATAAATAATTGAAATTGTTTAACCTTTCGGAAACCTTTTTTTTAGGCATGAAATAGATTTCTGGTAAAATTCGTAACATGAATAAATTTGTTGTGATTCCGAACAAATGATTTTTATGATGGAAAACTAATTGTTCATTTATTATTTATAGAAAATTCCCTTCATTTTCTCAACATTCAGAACGAAATTTCCTCAATTTTCCCCCAATTTACCTCTCATTTGAATCCTCAAAACCCTAGAAATTCAAACGATCGGAAATTTCAATCAAAGTACAATTTCCCATAGATTCCACCACAACTTCTAATGCATCGGGTATTTGAAATTACCGCACATGGATTCAAAATACACAGACTTCTAAAAAATCAGGCATAAATGGGCATCAATCATTACTTCAGTAATATTATGAGAAGTTGGAACTTACAATAATTAAGATTTACCTATCTTCATTAAAATTTGAAAAATGATATAATATTTGATAATTTAAATTTCTCAATTATTGGTTGATAAAATAATTCGAAATTTGAATATTTAAGGTCCGGGGGGATTATCTTTCGAACGTGATCTTGATTGTTATTCTTTTATTTTGATAATCAGAAATGATCTCCATATAATTGTACAATAAAAAAAAACGTTGAAATGAAGCTGAACATTTTCAAAGAGCGTTTTTGACTAATATTGGGAAATAAACTCAATAGAAAGGAAATTGCAAATTAATAATTTGATGTATCTAATGGCTGTTAGGTCGTCATTTGTCGCAGTAGTCAATGGCTGTCAGATCGTTAGTTACCATGGTAAATTATCCATTCACTATTTCCTCTCTATCGGACTTATTTCTTAATCTAATCTAATCTAATCTAATCTATTAAAAACGCTCTTTGAAAATGTTCAGTTTTTTTCTATTTTCTTTGATTGTATAATAATAATTTTTAGGGACTTCTGCGGGATCTAAAATCCAATGGAAATTGTGATATATTTTACATCGTGAAGATGAAAAAACAATCGAGATAACGTTCGAAAGATAATCCACCTGGGCCTTAAATTGAAGGTTGATAAAATATTTCAGAATTTGAATATTTAAATTGATGGTTAATCTAATAATTAAAAAATTGACCAGTAATACTGGCAATTCACTTATTCAAAATTTAGGGGAGGGGCGGGCAAAATGAGACGTATTGAGACGTTTTTCAATTGTCAATATCTTCATTGAGAAGTGAAAATATTGACAATTAGAGGAGATCACGAAACGTTCCATTTTGCCCGACTCTCCCCCAACTGTAATTCAAAATTATGATTATGCCGATGTCTGGAATCAGGTTGAGGTTGAAATGTCGAATAAAATCTATTTTCTTCATTTTTAATTTTGTCAAAATCAGGTTTTCTTTATTTCCAATAAAGCATTCGTTTAAAATGAATAATTAAAATATTATTTATCCTTACATTTTCCACAACAGGCGTTACTCTGCTTCTCGAGATCATTCGGCTTGTGATTGGGTGTCCATGGGCCGAGAGAAGCAGATGCGTAAAAGTCCATGGGGTAGGGTTTGTCTTGCTCGTATTTCGATAGATTTAGTGACACAGCGCCCTCGTATGGAGTGAGAAATGGCTTCTGAAAGGCCGTGCCCCAGTCTATACTCAGCCGTGGACATGCAATCTGAATATGAAGGAATAAATCAACACAAATTAGCTGTCAGTTCCTATCGATTTGAACGTGAAATCAGTGAGACGAGAGGATTTTCACATCACCTGTAGTTTTAAATAATAATATAACTCGAGATATAGTGGAGATAGCAAAATTTATATGAGAAACTTTTTTTTCGAGGATTGAATTTTCTACAAAAAATGTTTTCTGACATTTTTCTGTGAAACCACTCGTTGTTGAGATAAATCAAGAATTAACTTGTGAAGTTGAAAAATGAAATGAGCCGTTTCATCTCGAGATGAATTTTAATGCTATTTGTGCTATATTACTTCCATAGTTCCATATTATTTCAGATCTTGTTTTAGGAAAGATTTAGAGGTCCATAAAAGGTCCTTAGGGAGAATTTTATCCATCAATATGAACTTTAATAGATGATCAAGACGTTTTTTTAGTTTTAAGACGAGATGAAAGACGTTCTGAATCACCATAAGTTTTTCATAAATAACTCGGAATATAATGAAGATAGCAGAATTTTTGTGAAGAACTTTGTTCTTCAGGATTAAATTCTCTACAAAAAATTTTCTCTGATATTTTTTTGAAAAATCACTTGTTATTGAGATAATTCAACAATTAACATGCGAATAAAAAAATAAAAGGGATTAATTCATCCTAAGACCTTAATTTCATCTAGGGATTAAAAAATAACTTTAACAGACTACTATGAGCGTTTTTTAAATTCAAGTAGAGATGAAATAGGTTTTCGTTCACCACAAATTTCGTCAATAATTCAGAATATATTGGAGATATTAAAAAAGTGGAATAATAAGATGTTAATTACCTGAATGAAGGAATCAACATGATCGAACATGGCAATTTTATCCGGGAATATTTCTGACAAAAGAATGTTGACGTTCTTCTTCCCAAGAGCATTGATTCGCCTCTCCAGAACCTTCAGAACCGCAGGATTTCCCTGTCTGCCCAGCGTTCCAAGAACCAATCCAATGGTTTCTGAATTTTTGGCCCTTTCTATGGCATTCTGCCGGACAATTCTCATCTGCTCGTGATCGTAAAACTCTTCTGTGAGTTTTTTGTCGTAAGGATCGTACCTGAAGGCCCTCAGCCTTGGATTCGCTATCATCGCTGCCTCCAGGTGGAATCTACCGTCTCCAATGTAGATGAGGGCGTCTGCACAACGGATTTGTGGGGCTGTGCAGCCTAGAATCTTCGAGAGGAAAAATAATTAAGTGCTAAATATGGGTGTATGGTAATTCAAGAGTGGAGGGGTAATTCATCACCGAAATGATTCCATCATTATCAGATCTGTCGAATTGAAGAATCCATTAATAAAGAACAACCAAGTTCATAATTTCCGTTAAAAACCCTAAAAAATTTTGCAGAAAGTAATGGAAAAGTTGAAGACATTTTCAGTATTTGAAAAAATTCCCAACAAAAAGAATTCATGCGATACCTTCGCCCACAGTCACTCATCACCGAGATGACTCCGTCATCATCAGATGTCTCTCATTGGCAGAACCCATTAATAAAACCCCAAGTGTGAACAGATGTGAATCCATCAAGATTATTCACCTCTCCAGGGCTCAACGGCTTGCTCTGGGGCACAGTCGTCTCGTACCCTGCATTCCTCATCTCCCTGGCGATCGCCTGGAGTGTTCCTGCGAACTGAATCGTGCTCACAAGCGCTATTTTCGTGATCACTGGGAGAGTGGCTTGCAGGCAATCAATGCAGTGCGCAGTATCGATCTTAATATCCACGAATATGTAGAGGACTTTGATCCCAGCGGTCTGATCGATGGGGATGAGGCACGAGTGCCCGTAGTGGATCAGAAGGTCAATGTTCAGGGCTCGCGCCGAATAATCATCGACACAACAGGCACCTGGAATTTGTCAAATTAATCTCTTTATAATTTCACAGCATTTGCATTATTTTCGACATTAAAAAAATGAAAATTGATCATGTAATATTGTTTTATGTGATTCATTCCTCGAATGTAAAAATATTGAGTGAATGAATTAATGAATGAACGAACTTTTAGAGATATTTTTGTCTGGAAATCACTAAAAATTCTAAAAATTAACGCATGAATTAAATTTTAATTAATGTCGATGGATAGGCCCCAACAATACCCACATTTGGAAACAAGATTGAAGTCCATGGATTCAACAGTGAAGCAAAAATGAAAAAAAAATCAAATGTAGATGAATAAATAAATTAAATAAAAACGAACGAATCCCTCTTCATTTACCATAAGTCACGTCACCCATGATGACAGTCTCGGCCTCTGTGAAGTCCTCAATAATATCCGCAATGGTAGTTGCATACAACAATAGTCCTTCGGGCATTTGTAGAGCTACCCTCCTGGCCTTGGTCTCCCTGATCCTCCAAATGGTCTTATGAATCTCGAAATTGTAATTCTGGGGGAGTGCAGCTGCGGCTGCATTCAACAGAGGATCATTCAGGAGTTCCTGGGGTATTTTGTTGAGCCTCACAGGAGCCTTGAAGACCTTCCTCACGGGTTTGGCCTTCACAACGACCACAGAACTCTCCTCAGTGCTCATTATCGATGATTTCCTGGGGAGAATTTCAAGGGAAAACACGTGGTAATTGTTGGAAAGCGTCCAATGACCCTCGAAATTAGGCAAAAATTGTTTCTGGGAATAATTCTCACCTTGGTTAATTGATCTAGAGCTGTGTGGAGGCGTTGATGAGCGAAGGAGTCGATCAAGTTCCACTTGTGGTCATGAATATCAATAATTTCTTGGGTTCAATGTTCGTTATCACTTTAAAAATCGCAAAAATTGATGATCTTCGAGGTTTTCTTCACACTTTCCACTGTTTATTTATGATGTGGGAATTGCTTTACGGCGTCATCTGACGGAGCAATCCTGCGAGAGGCGTCGAAATCAAGGATTAAGGGTAAAACAGGATTAGTTGGAATGGTTTTTGGTGGATATCTCGAGATATAAACGAGATATCGAAAAACTCCTGAGGAACTTTTTTGTACCCCGCATTCTGCTCTACAAAAAAGGTCATTATGAATTTTTCGCTAATTCTATTAGATCCTGAGATTTTCAGCAAAGAATGAAGTGCAAGCGAAACTACTATCGATTTCTGGATGAGTTTTAGCAAAAATCTCTGAACCTAGGGGAGATAGCGAAAAATTCCTAATGACCTTTTTTGTAGCCCTCATTCCGCTCTTCAAAAAAGGTTATGAGGAGTTTTTCGCTAATTCTATTAGATCCTGAGATTTTTAGCAAAAACTTGACTTCAGAAGAAACAAGTTCAGCTCAATCAACTTCAGGATGAATTTCGTCAAAAATCTCGGAATATAAAGGAGATAGAGGAAAACTTCTCATGACCTTTTTTGTCGCTCTCATTCGGCCCTACAAAAAAGGTCCTTATCATTTTTCCACTATCCCGCATAGATTCCGAGATATTCACCAAAAACCGAAGATATCACACTGTTTTATCACTTCGCGATGGAGTGGCAAGAGATGTCGCTACCGTAGTGTTCCCTTTTATAAACAACCAATGTTTACACTTTTTTCTTCCCTTCCGTGTCCATAAATCCCTACCCAATCAGCAATCACTCATATGGCCCAACGGAATTTCTCAGTACTTTAAGGGCGATCCCGCCAAGTTGATTGTTCCCCGAACTCGATAACAAAAAAAAGGAGTTCATACAGGTCCCACCGAGATTTGAACTCGGATCGCTGGATTCAAAGTCCAGAGTGCTAACCATTACACCATGGGACCGTTTTCGCAATTTTTGAAAATTAAATCGATATTATTCTTATGTTAATAAAACGAGAGATTGTTATTCGTAATTTCATGGAATCATTCCGCCGAAATGGTCTTTTCCACTTTCGGATGGATTTTCTCGCCTTCGGCTCGTGCTATAAACCTCCCACGAGCCAAAAAACTCTTTTCCGCACTCGTTACGAAATATACTATTCTGACTCATATGACTCTATACTCTCAATATACCTCATATTCGCCAGAATAGTATATTTCATCACGCTGTGCGAAAAAGTAACTTATTAGGCACGCTTCGCGTGCCTACAACGTCCCTTTTCACGCATTGTGATGAAAAATATTGTTCGATACTCGTGGGAAAAGTGTTTTTCGGCTCATGGGATTATATTCCGCACTCGTAACGAAATATACTATTTTATCACAATGTGGCGGAAATTGCCTAAAAGTCCACTTTTCGTCACAGCGTGATGAAAAATTTTTTTTCAGCCCAATGACGAAATATACTATTTGAAAACCGGAAACACCGACAAACGAAACTGCTCAAGTGCTTGATTTGACTCGTGCCCTCTCCGGTGTCCCGAAAGCCGGATAAGTCCGAAAGATGGCTGCCATCATGGTGTAAGCGAGGCACCTCGTTTTTCGCGTGCTAAATAACCACGGTCACCCAAAAGCCCTCGAAAAAGTCTCGACTTACATTTTCTACCCCCAAGAACAATCAAGCAAATTAAAAAAAAAAATGTCAGTGTGTGTTCAACAAATTCCGGGATTACGATGAATGAGTGCAAACAGTGTTGTCAATGATACTAGTGAATTGAATGCGTTATTAGGTGAGTGTTAAGGGCCCGAAAATGCGGTGAATTGCCGCTAAAAAATGTTGGAATCACCTCTCGTCAGGTCATGACGGAGAAACGAAAATGTTGGGACGTTTGATTGCCAGTGGGAGAGACACGCGCCCGAGGCTCATTATCCCGTCTGTTGCAATCACGCGGGATTATCCTGAATAGTTCAGGTTAATTCAACAATTACCTATTACAAACGACTCACTCATTCATCAATTTAACCGCAAAAATTACACAATTTTTTCCACAATCAACACCTCCGCTGGGAGGACTGCGATATGCTCCACTCAAGTACACCCGAATAATTTTTTATTGCCGCGTGTTATATGCATGTTACACCGCCGAAGTAAACAATGTGACTTGCGTTTGGGTCACCGCGTGCACCGCAAATTCTTCTAGTCGAGAGTCAATTAAACTATTAAATATCGATGCCTAATTTGTTGCGAATACGTGGGATTGTTTTCTGGTTGTGAATAGGCATGAGCTGGTGGTCATAATCGATGAGCATGTGGCCTTGATTCCCGCCGGGGTGGGGGAGGGACTTTATCAATTAAAAATTCGTGATTAGGCTCCGACGGATTTGGTGGGGAATTGGACTCACGATTTTTGGGATTTTTTTATTTTTGTGGCAGACGATCGCTGGCAATTTATGATTTATCAATGTTGATTGTTAATAGTAGATTATTAAAGTGTCATTCAGATTTTTTTTACCTAAAAAACACGAAAACTGCAACTTGTTTTATAATTAAGTTTTTGTTAAGAATTTTCAGTAAAAAAACATTTTTATAATTGCTTTTTCCAAAGCCCGCGGAATTATTCTGAATAAGAAATATTATTTTGTCACTGATGATCAGTTGCAACTCATGACTTATCAATGTTTTGATTGCTGATAGTAGCTTATTAAAAAGTCATTCAAAGTTTAATTTTCTGAAAAATAAAACTTCAATTTCAATCGTTTCATAATTCAATTTTTGCTGAGAATGTCAAGTAAAAGAGATTTTTGTAATTACTTTTCTAAAGGCCGCGGGATTATTCTGAATATTTCAGATCAACTAATTTTTGGGATTTTTTTTGGATTTTTAAAGGCGTGATGACAATTTTCATTCGTTTCATAATTCAGTTTTTGTTATGATTTTTTAGTAAATAAAACTAGATGTTTATAATTGTTTTTTCTAAAGCCCGCGGGAATATTCTGAATACGAAATTTGATTTTTGTGTTAAATATCGATGCCTGATTCGTTGCGAATACATGGGATTGTTTTCTGGTTATGAATAGGCATGAGCTCGTGGTCATAATCGATGAGCATGTGGCCTTGATTGCCCTGGAGAGGGGGGTGGGACTTTATCAATTAAAAGTTTATGATTAGTCTCATGATTTTTGGAAATATTTTTGGGTTCTTGAAGGCGTTGGAAATTTTCCGGATTTTATTTGTTATGAATGATTGGTGGTGGGGATGATAACAAATGAATGCTTAGCGCTGTTTGGTTACTTCAGGAAATGTCCAAAGTCTTAATTTATTGTGATTTATAGGCTTTTTTGGTGTCATTAGGACTAGAATCGTTGGGAGACTGAATTACTGAAAAGAATTTTATTCTCATAATTGATGATTCGTGATTATCGGGTCTTGAAATTGTGGACGATGTCTGAGACGATCGGTGGCCATTCATAAGTAATTAGTGTTATGAATAGTAATAGTAGCCTATTAAAAATTCATTCCAGTTTTCATTATCTCAAGATCTTAAAAACGTAAATTTCACTCATTTCATAATTGATTTTTCCCTAAAATTTTCAACAAACGACATTTTTATAATTACCTAAAATACAAACCGATAAAAAATCTCCCTCACATTTTAAGATATTTATTAAAAACTCCCCTTCAAACCGAAACGACATACTAAAGTAAACCGAATCTCTTTTAATCGTCAGCATTTTAGGATCGCGAGAGTCAAATTTAATGAGTCACACGTCATTCTGAAGACTCTTTCACAATCTTCAAAATGCCCCCAAATTCATCTGAATCGCGCCATTTCCCTCTTCCTCTTTTTCCTTAATGATCTTTAATCCTCAATGAAACGGGATCGATTGCGACTAATCTCCCCCTGTGCTAAATAGCACCGCAATTCACTAACTTCCAATAGTCCAAAAAATATATAAAATACGAGTAATCAAAGTCAAGCGATTAGTCTTCACATCAGACTTTGCACAAACTCGTAAAGTTCAATATTTTCGGAAATATTTAACTTTGAAAAGAGACATGCATATGCGGTATGTCCGCCGGACTTGAGGATTTACTGCAAATCGCATCGCCAATTCCTCAGACATTAACCAACAAAACCCTCGTCACTCATGAAAATTTTCCATCAACTCAAAATCTCCCCGCAGTCTCAATAATCCCCCCACCATTCTCTCTACATTCCAGAATCGTCATCACCTCCGTTAAATGCACCCCAACTAAGCAATGCCAGCGGTAAGTGTGTGTGACCCAGTCACCTCAGCCCTCCGGCACTCGCTGGACATGCAAACAAAATCCCCCGACGACATAGCCGTCTCCCTCGCGAGCAATGCCTCTCGCATCCTCCAAACAGAAATTGATTACGAGGAGGCCGATGGCTACCAATCAAAGGTCCTGGACCACCTAAAAGCCAAGTACATAGTCCTAAGCCTCCCACCAGATCCCCCAGACTCGTCAAAGCCAAAAGAGCAAGCCTCAAAGAAGCCTCAAGAGCCCAAACGAACGGGTCCCTCCTTACCAGAGCCCACGACAATCCTCTACCAGCCCAGCAAGATAACCCTCGGCTGGAAGGGCACCCTCCCCGTGGGCTCTGGCATGTACAATGTCGGCAATACATGCTACCTAAACAGCACCCTGCAAGCCCTGTTCCACGTGCCAGCCCTGGTCAACTGGCTGCTATCCGATCCACATCACACCTCAAAATGCGATCATAACGAGGCTGGAGGTGAGTGCCTTACCTGCGCAATGTCAAAGACATTACAATTCAGCCACGAAAAATCCGGCAACGCCATAAAACCTTTTTACATCTACAACAAGCTAAAACTAATATGCAGAACAATGGTGCCTGGTCAGCAAGAGGACGCTCACGAGTTCTTGAGATATCTCTTGGAAGGAATGGAGAGGGCCTACTTGTCCCGTCACAAAGCCCTCAAACTCGACTCCTACTCCAAGGAGACAACACCCATCAATCAGATATTCGGTGGTTACATAAGAACCGAAGTCAAGTGTCTCCAGTGTCGTCACGTATCTACGACATTCCAGCACTTTCAGGATCTTCTAGTTGACATTAGAAAAGCAAACTCCCTCGACGAGGCACTGACAAGCTACTTCAGCAAAGAACAGCTTGACAACAATGACTACAAATGTGAGGCTTGCAAACGAAGAGTCCCTGCCACCAAGCAATTCAGTTTAGAAAGACCCCCCAAAGTCCTCTGCGTTCAGCTGAAGAGGTTCAGTGTTATGGGGGGCAAGATATCCCGGCACATTGGCTTCAAACAGACTGTCGACATGGGCCCCTACTTGTGGAGGGAACCCGGGGAATCCCCGAGAAAGCTCAATTACAAACTCATGTCGATGGTCACCCACATGGGCCCCTCTGTCAATTGCGGTCATTACACGGCTGTTGCACAGGTGTCAACGGGACAGTATTACTCGTTCGACGACTCATGCGTTAGATCCATTAATCTTACTAATGTATTGAGCACTAATGCGTACATAATGATCTTTGAGATGGAGCCACAGTCGAGTAAACTGCCGAGCCCTCAGCCGAAGGTGAATGGGTTGAATGTTGTCAAGGGTATAACGAATGGGAATGGAAATGGCGTCAAGGCGATGAGCCCCAAGCCCTCGACATCGGGGATTATAAACGGTATGAATGGGGTTAAGAAGGACGCAAGTCCGATTATAGGGCCTCAGTTGCCGCAGAAGGCGAATGCTCAGAAGAGTCAGTTCATCGGGCCACAGTTGCCACCGAAGATGGTGGAGAAGAGCCAGCCGAGGCTTGTGGTTCACATTAAGAATGGAAAGGTCTTGAGTGGAAGCAGTCTTGTGCCATATGATGGCTCCAGCGATGAGGACGAGACTTGTGGAAAAAATGGTGTCAATGCTTCCGGTAAAGGGGTCAATGGGGGTGCTACCAAAGTTAAGGAGGTGAAGGAGAAGGCTATTCCTGTGGTCAAGGAGGCCAAGAGGGAGAAGGCTATGAGCCCTGTGGGGCAGAATGGGAGGACCAGTCCCAAGCAGAATGGAAAGGGGGAGAGGGTGGAGAATGGAAAGGAGAAGTGGTGCCCCATCAGGGTTCACACGGAGGAGAGGGTTCTCACTAAGGCTGCCAGCAGCATCAATGGATGGGAGGTCACCAAGGATACACCATCACCTACTTCGGGGGCTACACCCAATGGATGGTCCGTTACTGATAACAAGTTCGTATTCATTTGGGGTATTTACTTAGCTATTATTATTGATTGGTTGATTCCATTTTCAGTTTCATTTTCATTTTCATACAGACCCAATAGCACGCGGCCAATTACAGGATCAGATTAAATCAGTAGCGAGAAGTAGTCAAATGGTTTGAGTCGACTCATCTCCCAGTTGAGTTTTTGAGGAATATTTCCGAATCTAAGCGAGATAACGAAATTTTCGTTATGACATTTCTTGTAGCTCTTAATCGGCTCTACAAAAAAGGTTGTAACAAAAATTTGGCTATCTCCCTTAGATTCCGAGAAAATTGACTTGTACCGTTTTACCACTTCGCTACTGAAATCAAAATGAAGTGTAATAATGAAATTAATAAGATGAACAGTTGAAAATACTACTTATGACGGCAAGGATTATTTATATTGCTCATATTATAAAATTAGTAGACTAGAGTGAACAGGCCAGTTGCTGGACGGTTAAGGGAAATTCAAATTTCATGGTAGAATCTAAAATAAAAGAATCATCTAAATGGGGATATAACAACTTCCGTACCTTCAAGAATGTTTTAATTGGCAGAAAAAAATTATTTGAAGTGAAAATAACAAAACAAAGACTAATTAAATTAAGAAATAGTTGATTGCAGCCGAAACCCCTAATTTCTAGACGACTGGGCCATATTTTTTTCTTACTTATTAAATGTAGATCAATAGAAAAAATAATTGACCACATGATTATACGTGAGTAATATTATTGAAAGGTGAAATAATCAGTAGAATTTTTATTTTATTTATGGAATATTCAATGCAATTTGAAATCGTCCAGAAATTGACCTGTTTACCCTCCCTAATCTATCTAAATGTTTTAGTAATATACGTACTCAAATTTTTGTTTTTTTTTGTTTGGTTTTTCTGTTTAAAAAAAATAAAATCATAGTAAATGTCAAGGGACATTCTTCATTCAGAATTTAATAATTCAGAAAAAACGTTCACTTGACATTTCTTCCTACATTTGATCATTTTATTAAGAATTGCACAATTGTAAAATTATTAATTGAATGATTTTTTTTTTTCAGGGAAGAGAGTAGAAAATCAAATCATACATCAGCACCGAGTGCCGCTGCTCCCCGGAATTTCAACGGTACAAATCGCTCGGAGACAGTGTCACATCTTCTGAAAATGTCACATCGTGGATATGGAAGCTCATCGGGTCAGTACATGAAAAAAACAGCAATTAAAAATGAAAATGAATCCTCAAGACGCGTTAGTTCAACAACACAATCGACTCATCGCTGTAGCGCATGTCGTGAGATATCTGCACGTGATTCGAGGATTACTGATAAATCAATTCCTTCGAAATTATCCAATCAGTGGGGTAGAAAAACACGGGGAGTTTGGATTCCCTGAAGCATTAATTCCTTTTTCTTTAAAATTATGTTTCAAACATTCAATTTGTCTTCTGCTTTTATTGAGAATGGAAATTTTAATCAAAATATATATTCCATGGTGGTGGATTATTGACACCTGTCAATGTGTTTTTCATTTATTAGAAGATTATTAGTTTAAATTAGAAAGCAGAACAAAATGTATAAATTATTTTTTTGTTTTTTTCATTCATTTGTTAGTTATTTTATAGTTGGTAAATATCGAGAGACATTTTCTGTGGAAAATCAACATGTTTTTTCGTATAAAATTTGTTTTCGGGTCTTAGCAAATTTCTAGTTGAAATTAGAAGCAAAAAATGAAAGAAAAATTTTAAAAACATGATTTTTTTTCCAATTCGAGAATAGAGGAATTATCTACTTACTGAATGGGTTTTGTAAAAAAAAAATTTTTTGAAGAGAAATTTCATGATCTACAGAAAAGTTCTTTTGATAATTCCTCCTAAAGCCACTAGTTCCTGCGACAATCAAATTGCAAAATTTCTTGGTAGTTTCTCAACTATTTATTCATCTCAATAACTATCAACTCCACGAAAAGCATCATTGAATATTGTTTCTCCTGCCATTTTTCCAAAATATGAAAACTTCATAGATTTTTTTAAATTTCATAATTGTGGAAAACAAACATTTTTGTCTAATTCCTGTTATTAATTGTCACATTAGCCCATTAGAAACCGTTTTAGTAGATTTTTAACTGTCTATTCGCCCACACCCACAAACAATCAACTCTAAAAACCATAAATTGCAAAACAACTAAAAGACATCATTCGCCCAAAACAAGAAAGCGTTTCAGACTTTTTTTTTCAATTTTTTTTTCTCTCTTCCAACAGTTACGAATTGGAACGGCAACAGATCTCACCTGGAGCGTGAGGTTGACACCGAGAGGCGAGAGGAGCGCAAACGTCATCACGACCCAGACGACGAGGAGATGGACAGAGGTAGAACCAAGAAATTGAAGAATCATCGTGAGTACGAGGGCAGATCAAACCCTGGCTACAATCCCTTTCAAGAGTATCAGAATGGTAAAACGTGGAATCGACCTAGCAATGGATCTTACCACCGACGAAATTACTACAACACTTCCAGCCACAATCGTCCACGTCACGGTGGTAATTACAGACAGCATTACCGATATCACGGACACAACCGCGATCACTGGCAACGTAGATAGAATGATAGAATTAGGGGAATTTAACTGTTAATGAGAGATAAAACGTAATGGGGAATGATTTTATTTCATTCTCGAGCAATATTTAATCTGAGAATTAGGCATTGCATTTTTTATTGGGGTGATGATTGTTTACCTCAGGGGGGGGGGATGACTGTTTTGGTCCTCAGTGGGTCTTAATTATTCTGAAAATGTTTAAACATTATTTTCTCTCATTTGTGAAGTGGCAGAGGAGAAGTTTAATTCGAAATTGATTTTACTATTTTGTGAATATCTACCAAACTATCAGAATTATCGAAAAATGTCACTGAAACTTTTTTGTATATTATTAAATTCTGCACAAAAATTGTCTTCTGACATTTTTCGATAAACCTCGTCCCCTCGCACCTGTTCACAAAAGACTTTTCACTCGTGTTTTAGCAATTGGGAAATTTTGTATCGATTAATTTGCGAATATCTTCAAAACCATTAGGTTTATCAAAAAATGTTACAAGATCTTTTTTGTAGATCATGAAATTTTCCACAATAAAGTTCTTCTGACATTTTTTGATAAACTTCATCCCCTCGAAGATATCCGCAAAATAATGCACTAATGATTGCTTTGAAATATTCTTCTTCTCTACCACTCAATTTAATTTCACACTATTTTCCATATTTGCGACTCTGCACTACTGTAAGAAATGAAAGACTCAATTTGCCATTAATGAAGAAGTTCCTGGAAGGCTAGACACTTTGATAAATAAATGAAAAAGCATATTAACACGTTAATCCGTCCTAATTCACTAACAATTTAATTCTGCAGAATCATGCCCCTTTGATACAGAATAAACCCTAGGCTTTTATCGAATGAAGCCCACAAACAGAACTGAATATACAATTTTTACATTCGTTTCTACGTACGATACAATTAATTAATGAATAATGAGTTGAATTAAACCTGAATTTTCGTCTCACATACGAGAATAAAGGGGAAATAATATTTTCACTTGACGTATTTCATCATTATCCCCCCATTAGAGCCTCATTTTACAGTTAATTACGAAGAGAGTTAATTTCAAAGCGGTTCACAATTGAACTCATTATTATTTTCATTTTTGTTAATCCCCAGCGTTTACTGAAGCGTTAAATGCCTATAGGCGCTTTCAGCATTAATGACTAAGTAATTATAATAAAAAAATTTATAAAAGCAAATATTAAGGGAAATAATGATTATTCCTAGTGTAACGATAGCTGTAAATTACTAAAAAAATGAGAGAAAATGTAATTTTAAGGCCTTTTACACTTGGTAAAGGGCGCGCTAAACGAATCGTGAAGAGATGGGATGTTGATGTACACCGGGGGATAACTATAATCCCCCAACGTCAATTTGTAATATTTTTCCTATGTACCCAGTATCAATATTGATTGCCCTCGGTGTGCACATTTAATAAATCATTACCTCGTTTTACTATTCTACGAATTAATACTAGCCAAAAAAATTAATAAAATGCGACAAAAATGTTATATTAAGTATAGGGGCTGCGTAATTAATTGTAAACGACTAGGAATTTGTGAATGAGTGACACATTTTATTTAAAAGAAATAAATTTGAGAATGCAGTGATGGAATGGGACGAATCGTTTTTTTTCTGGATCAGTTTTTGTCTGATATATTTCGATCTGAGGGAGACGGGAACATTTTCGTCTAGAGATTTTTTGTAGAGAATTTTCTCAGCTACAAAAAAGGTCGGAATGATAATTTCGGTATCTCTATTGGATCTGGAGATATTCACTATAAACTGAAAGTAAAGTTGAATGGTTTCATTCGTAACTTTTTTTCTGGGGAAAGTTTTTCGTTGATATCTCGGAATCTGTCAGATATGGGGCAAATTTCATGAGAACTTTTTTGTAGGGAGTTTTCTCAGCTACAAAAAAGGTCTGAACGAAAATTTTGCCATCTTTTTTGGATTTTCAGCAAAAACTGCTTTTTCCTGAAGGGAAATCGACTTATCCTGTTCCACCACTCGATTTCTAATGAAAAAATTAATGGAACATTGCCACTAGAATTGATTTATGTATGTCGAGATACTCCGTCTCTCCTTCAACACACGTTTGTATAATTATTTAATCTGGTGTGAAAATCCAAACTGGCTGTTGTAATAAAATTGCAGAAAAAAAAGAGAAATTGAAGCGAATGAAAGAAAGAAAATGACCGTGTTTTGTTTTTTCGTCCTTTGTTTTTCTATTTTCATTTCAGTCTATTGAAAATGGAGGTGGAAGAGTGCACGGAGTTCATCATTCTCCAGGACCAGGCGACTCTCCTGGAGACGTTGATAAAAAACGTAAAGAATGAGGAACAATTTTTGATTTTGCGATTGTAAAGAGACGAGTATGAAATTTCCAAAAGTTTGCCGTGTGAATATCTCCGCGGGGAAGAGGTTTAGAGAAAAATATCACAAGACATTTTTTGTGGAGAATTTCGTGAGCTACAAAAAAGTTTTTATGACATTTTTTCGTAAATCCACCCATTCTCGAGATATTCATGAAATTAGGGTCCGCGTTTTGTTTAAGTTGTTGTAAATGTCCTAGAGATGTTTAATTATCTTGGCAGAAAGATTAATTACTTTGGAGAAATTATGTTGGTTCGAAATATTTCTTATAGCTATCAATTTTGAGACATGAAGCCCCTCAAGTCGCCCTCATCGACACTGAGCTGGAGGTGCTTCTCCTGAGTTTCAAGGAAATCTCCAGTAATTTATCAATAAAACTTGAAGCATTGACGCAATTATCAGAGCGTTTAGAGAACGAGAAGAGGAAGGAAGTCGTTGAGTTCGTGGAGAACATACAAGAGTCTTGGAAAAAGACAGTTAAAGAGGTACATAACATCGGACAAAAAAAATCCCTCATACAAATCTCCAATTGTCTCAGGAATGCCTAACGATAAGAAAACAAGTGGAAAATTGCTCTTATATTGCATATAGTATAGTTATTTTTGCTAATGGATGAATTAAATATTAATTAATGGCAATCGATGGGACTCAACAATACATTTGCAGAAAAACGAGGTCTAAAAATTGCCCTTTCGAGCTCGATATAACAAAAAAAAATTCAAAACTTAAATTTGAACGATTAAAAAGCTTCCAATTGGAGGCAAAAACATGATAAGACTTTTTTGTTGGAAATTTTCTCCTCTACAAAAAATTTCTTATCATATTTTCCCCTAAATCCACTCATTTTCAAGATAATCTCCAAAAACAAATTGAAAATCCCTTCTTAAATCATGGCATAGACAAATAAAAATGTGATAATTCACTCATTTCCCAGTTGAGTTTTTGAGGAATATTTCCAAATCTAAGGGAGATATCGAAATTTTCGTAACGACATTTGTTGTAGCACTCAATCGGCTCCATAAAAAAGGTTATAACAAAAATTTCGCTATCTCCCTTAGATTCCGAGATATTAATTGAAAACTGATCAATAGTCAAAATTTACTTATCTCCTTTTGCCACTTCGATAGATAATTGTTCCTAAAAGTCAAGTGTGTCCTTTAGATTACCGAGGAGCACTCGAGCCTTTCGGTGGTGAGCAGATCAGCCTACGGTCTCCCCCTGTCATCCCTCCTAACCGACATTAAACGATCGACATCGTCAATCCAAGTGTCCCTGCAGATCGGAGAGATGATATACGACAACGATTTCGTCGTCCAGGGCTTTCTCTACTGCAACGAGATCTCCAAGCTCCTGAACGACATGGAGGGCTGTGACAAGCGCATCCAGCAGTACCTGGTGACCCCGAAGGTCACCAGCTACCTCCAGAGTCTCGATGCAACGGTGGAGGCCTTCTCCCAGAAGAACAGTCTCCTTCCACCGAACGAGCAACAGCTGGAGGTCTTCTCCAAGGTCTCGTCCCTCCTCACCGAGGAACTCCTCGGCTGGGAGCCGGAGGATCCTGCGGTTGTGTTGAAGGAGAGCAATCCCAAGAAACCAGTCTTCATTACTAAGAATGCGAAACGAACTCAAGTGAAGAGACTGGCCAATTTGCCGCTGTTCAATTCTGTTCACAAGGAAAAATCCGAGGATTAAAGATTCATTTGGGGATTAGATTGCGAAAATATGAGAGATCCTTTTTTGGAGAGTTAATCAACGAGATGAGGTGATTAACGAAGATTTGGACTTGATTTCTTTGTCGATGTGAATTTATTAATTGTTGAATTATCTTCGTAATGACACGGATGAAGAGATTTGATGGGAAAACTTAGCGAATTCGTTAGAAAATTCTATTCGATTTCAATAGAAAAAGTCAATAAAATTTGATTTTTCTATTTATGTTATTCTGCTGAGGTATTTTCGACGGAATTTCGTCTGCTCAAATTTTCAAAGCTTTTTGTTTGATTTTGTTGATGACAAGAGAAGGAAAATAGAATGAAAAAAACTTGGAAAATTTGAGTCGAGGCAATTCTATAGAAAATGTCTGAAAAGAATAATTTATATAGAAAAAATGAATTCCATCAACTTTTTCTGTTGAATATTTTCTATTGAACATTTCAATAGAATTGACCAAAAACCAACAGAAAGTTCAATAGGAATCCAATAGAATTTTCTAACGAATTCGCTAGGTTTTTCTGTTAATTTTTTTCGTGCATTCTAGGAGAAATGACGAGAGAAAACAAATGTTCAACATTTTTCTCGACCTGCTAGTTCTAAAAATATCATAATAAACTATTCAATTTTTCCATAATAATAAATTGAAAATAAATTGAGATTGGCGAATTCACCACCGTTTAATTCTGTTCACAAGGAGAAATCCACGGATTGAAGATTGATTTGGGAATTAGACTGCGAAAATATGAGAGGTCCTTTTTTGGAGAGTTAATTAACGAAATGAGATGATTAACGAAGATTTGTACTTAATGATTAGTTTTTTCGATATGAATTTATTAATCGCTGAATTATCATCGTAATGAGTGAATCTGGGGGAAATGTCGCAAGAAAAAAATCATTCTTAAGATTTTTCTCAACCCAGCAGTTCCAAGGATGCGACAATAATCTATTCAATTTTTCCATAATAATAAATTGAAACAGAAAAATGATCTTGAACCAAGAATAAAAAATTAAGAATGCGAACCGAACTCAAGAAAAGAGTCTAACGAATTTTGGAGAGTTAATTAACGAAATGAGGTGATTAGAACTCGATGATTCATTGGTTCAATGTGAATTTATTTATTGTAATGAGTGATTGTAAGGGAAATGTCGAGAAAAAAAAATGTCCCTCAACATTTTTCGAATAAATTGAACGACAAAAATGATCTTGTTTCCTTTTATTCCACGTTCCTCCCTTAAAATCAATTAGAACGATAAACTCTCTCCTATTAATCATAAATTTTATCAATAGATTTATAAATATGATACAATGACACCGCAAATTGTCCCGACATAGGGAAAAAAATCACGAGACAAAATAACAATCAATATACAAATTTGAATGTCTTGAGTATCAGATTAATATCCTGGGATGCTTCTGAATGATTTGAGACTAGATTTACATTGAATTATGACAATTTTCAAAGAATCCCCTCGAGATCCGACAGTACTGTTGGTGCACCGAGTCTGAGGGTGAGTTCACGTCGACGCATGAAGGCTGGTGGTAATATTTGGGGCCTCTCAGGGGCCCTCGGGGTTGGCACATCGTAATTTGTTGCAACTGGCGCCCAACCCTTGTCGTTTAGGCACTTGTAGCAGAGCTTTCTCTCTCCTAAACACTGGGAATGATAGCCATGGCCACAGCCAAAGAACACTGTGTAGTCTGTACACTGGGTTAGCACCTGTCTGCACACGGGGCAGACCATTGAAGCACTTGCGCATGCTCTTCCAGAATCTCTGAGGAGGGAAATTCACGAGAAAAATATATTCAGACATTAAGTGGCTGTTAATTATCTAGAGAATCAGGGATTTTCATCAGTCCATAGAGATTATTACAATTATTTGCGTTTTAATTGGCCAAGAATTTCAGCAATTTTGAACACTGAGAACAAAAAATTACTTTTACCATGTGAATTTACTCACTACAAGAAAATCCACACGTTTCAAATGTAAATGTTTATATACATTCACTTGTGGCAAATAAATTTGCTCGGCAGAAGGGATTTTTTTCTCAGTGTAATTGAAGAATCGATTTTCCCACAATTATTGAGCAGAAATGATTTGTTCAACTTTTCACATAAATTCAATATTTTTCAGACTCTAGTTTCACGTATGAAACAATTTAATAGAAGAAACCTAGCGCTTTTTCTAAGAAATTCTATTGAAAATAGTTGTTTGATTCGAATTTGAAGGTCTCAAACATAAATAATTGTTCTGCTTTCGACAGCAACGAAATATTTGGCTCAAGAGGCACATAATTCACACCAGACGGTGCCTTTTCAGGATGAAAATATTAGAGGACAATTTATCAAAAAATATTTTATCCCCAAGTTACAAAATTGCTATCATATCATTATTATTGTTTCATTTAAGGGTTCATTTGTTGTCTGTGATTATTAGACAGTCGAAACAAAAAACTACGATCCCTTATTTCTCATAAAACAAAGATTTTTCGGGAGCAAAATACGTATGGAAGTACCGAATAACGAGTAGCGCTAGAAATGACATTTCTCGCGTGTACAGAGAATACAATTTTTTTCAACAACAAAATCTATTTTTTCGACAAAAGTTTTTCATTCCGGCGCACTCTCTGCATGTTTGGCCCAAAAAAAACCTTGATAATCTTCAAAAAACTATTTTCTCGGCACAACTAAGACTTGCTTGAGACCTTTCTCGTTTTTCTCTCAGTGCAGTCAGTAAATTGAGTTGTCCCAGACTCTTTAACCAAAAATTTCAATGTCAATTAAAATTTTAACCCCCACCCCGCCTACCTAAGCGTCCTCTTGAGTGCCTCATGCAGCTCCAGACTGACGAGTCTCGCCGTGGTCTCAACGAGAACCTGCTCGTACCTAGAATGCGTCAAGACCCCGGTCAGCAGCTGCCTGATATCCCCAATGGTCCCCGAAGTGGCCAACGGATGCTTGAGAATTTTCTCCAGAACCATGGAGAGGGCAGTGGTTCCACTGAGCGCCTCCAGCACGACCTTGAGCAGTCGTCCCCTGAGCCTCTCGACCCTCTGGTTCCCCCCGGCCTGAGGCTGCAGAGCACTCTCCACCAGGGGCATCCAGTCGAGGTTCCCCGCGGCCCGTCTGCACAGCCCCGCGACCTGTTTAGTCGCCACCACCACCTCCTCCTCCCCCATCACCCCCTGGTGATACAGCCCCAGTCGTTCCTCCAGGCCCCCATGGAGCAGCTCGAAGGCCTCCTGATAGTTCCCCATTTTCTCCAGCATGACGGCAGTGGCCTCCTTGTGCCCCGCCTCCCTCACGATCCTCAGAGCCTCGTCGAGCCTGCAGCCGTGCACCCCCTTGACATGACCAACAACACCGTCAGGATCATATCGACACATGAGCGCTAGAAACCTCTCGAGCTGTTGCGTCGTGAGCTCCACCCTGTTCTCCTCCTCCTCCCTGAACTGATTCCCATGGTACAACGACGACAGCAGCGCAAATTCCAGCCTCGACTCTGTCTCCAGCATCTCCAGGATGGCCGACAATTTCGCGGGAATTCTATTGACAAAGCCAGCAACCCTGTCGGCGTCTAGAGCAACGAGAGTTGCTGCGTGTGCCAGCATAACCGCTTGAAAAGCCCCATTGGGCAGCCTCTCCAGCCACTGCCACACCTCGTGCTGCCTGTAGTGGTCCCCGATGATGCACCTGCAGACGGAGACCCAGTCGTCCCTCGCCGTGTACACCACCTCGGCAACCCTCAAGAATTTCGCCCTCTGGGATAAATTTAAAATAGTGTTATCAGTGATTCCATTCAGCTTCTTCGTATTCAGGAGTTGGAGGAGGGCGTTCTCTCGCTCCAGTTTCTGATCTCGTGTTACCATGTCCCCAGTGTCGGTGCAGAGAACCTCAATCAATCGATTCAGAGTGGAGGACTCCAGGGTGACAGTGCCCTCCGCCATTTCATTCGCCACAAAGACCAGGACAGTTGCTCTCTGATTGCTCGTGAGGTACTCAGGACTGTCTGGAGACACTGGTGTTGTCGGCATGACGATGGACAACAGAATGTCCACGAGTCTCTGTCTCTGTCGCAGTCCCATTTCAGTCTTGAATTCGGGCTCTTGAAAGGCCATGGAGATGACGTCGAGAAAGCCTCGAGCATCGAATCTGAGAAGACTCCTCAGATACGGATACTGGCGCTCGTTGTCTTCAGCGAGACTGGAATGTTGTGACAACAGAGCCCTGAGGACTTCGACCTTAGCCCTCTGTGGCTGGTCCTCAGGGAGATCGCCCCTGGGGAAGCCCCTACCAGCCAGGCAGCAGCTGGCGTACACCAGGAGGGCATTTCCCAGCCTGATGCACTCCCTCGGCATCGTCTCCCTCGTGCTCTTCATGAAATTCTGGAGAACGGGCATCAGCTGGTGAATGGGTGCCGTGAAGTCCCCCAGAGCTGCCGTCTGCAGGTGAATGAGCGCCTCCCAGAGGCACCTGGCCCTGCAGATGGTCGTCACCTGGTGAATGTCCAAACAATCGACGTCCAGGAGAACAACGACAGCCTGAAGAGGCTCCAACCTGTCCTCCTTGTCGTACAACTCGACAAACTGCTGGGCAATCAGTGGTGGCAGTCTTGGCAACAGGCTGCCGTCCAGGAGAGGGCCCTCGAGAGCCCTCAGATAGCTCGCCTTCAACCCCGGCGTCTCCGACACGAGATCCCACAGAGCGCCGAACAACAGATAACTATTCTCAAGCTGTACAGCATAATCCACACAAGTCGCAATGATCTCGCTCTCGTTTCCGTAGTCCCCTGGCGACCTGATGAACTCGTGCATGTACTGCATCAATACCTCACTCGTCTTGATGAAGGTCAGCCGTTTCCTTACCTTCTTGAGCCCACTGAGACCCACCACAGCCTTCCCCTTGTCCTGGTGAAAGGACAGACCCAGCGCCAGGGCCTCGGGGAATCTCTTCTGAAGCGTCAGATACCGCAGTCGTTCGGACCACGTTCTGATGAAGACGACGTGCAGTCGCTTCGTTCCCAACAGCAGCAGCTGGCTCCCATAAGTGATGACGCTGTTGTAGCACGCCCGTTCCCCAGCCAACGCCATCGCCTTGGATACGTTGCCCCCCGTGGAGAGGCCCTTGAAGTGACTCGAGGCGTAGGATATCCCCACGGGGTTCATGTCAATGGTCTCCAGGTCCTCCTGCGTTCTAACATCGATGAGATGCAGTCGCTCCTGCGTGTCCAGGACAGCGAGCGATCTCGTGTTCAGCCATCGAAGATTGCTGATTGTGTAGGCAAGCGTCATTCTCCTGAGGGGCGTCAGCCTCACCCTCGACCCGGCCTCCGAGCACACCTGGTAAAAGTGAACAGTTGTGTCTCTGGCAAGGGCGAGAACGGGATCAATGACTCGCGTGGCGTCCGGCGCCTGGATCACCACCAGCTGCCAGGAGACCTGCGGTGGCGCAATCGTCGGCCCCGCCAGGGGATGCGTCAGGACGACCCTCATCCTCGGGCGAATGCAGACGACAATGACCTTGGACAGCGTCGCCAGGGCGACGAGTGTGTAGTTCTTCAGGGGATGTCGAGGTAAATTATTCAGCAGAAGTGGCTCCATCGTGCATACCTCACCCCGCGATCCACTGAACAGACACTTGGAGTCGCACCCCCTCACCCCCATGACCCTCGTGAAGCTGAGCTCGAAGACCGAGCCCCCGCTGTCACTGCAGAGGGCCAGGGTAGGCGAGTCAGTGAATCTCACGTGGAGGACTGCTGTCCCGGGTGGATGCACCTCCGTCAGAGTCCTCAGGACCTTTCCACTCGAGCTGTCGATCATGAGGATGTGCCCCCGGGCGTAGCCGGCCAGCAGTCGTGTGCCGTCGTGATTGAAACACAGGGCTGAGACCGCCCCCTGGTGACGCGCCTCCTGGTTGCACCACCTCAGCGTCTGCTTCGAGTCAAAAGCCAAGAGGAGGCCGTGACTGGTTCCAATGATCAGGAGATCTCCACCAGCGGCAACCGCACTCGCCAGCCCGGCGTTCACCTTCTCCGAGGCGGATTTTATCTGCGATGTTATCCCCCGCATTATCGCGTGCTTCATTATCACCCCCGACAGGGGAATCTCCGGGTTTCGGGGTGTCGGTTTGCTCAGGGAATTCAGGGAGAGGAGGCTACCGACACTCGTTGTCTCGCTGCCGTCCACCGCCGAGGCCGAGGCAGCACCGATGTCCAGGTCGGTGCCCGATAATTCACCGGTGTCCTGCTCTGTCAGGATGCTCTCCAGGGTCGGCAGGTGGTCCAGCGACGGTATCGCGTACTCTGCATCGTCCAGCTGCGGGGAGATTCAAAGGTGATTTCAAGGGGATTAGTCTCAGCAACAGCTGATTTTCTTTAGGCCCCCGGGGGGAGGGTGATAAGGATAACCTAGAGGTTAGATTGGGGGCTGGGGGGTAGGGGTGTTACCTCCTCGATGTCCAGGTTTATGGCGTCGACGGCGAGGTTCTCCTGGGATCCACCCCCCGATGAACTGTCCTTGTCTGCCATTTTTTGCGGATTGTTAGGCGACTGTCAAACTACACCCGCGCGGTACACACGCCATTGTTGGACACTGTGTTGTCGTTGGGAGAACGGGGAGGGGGTTAAGTGGACGAGAAGGGAGCGGAGGGGGAGGGGGTGACGGCGGGGATTTTGAAGACACTGAGACCGATGTTTTCTTGAATTTTAGTGGTAATTCACACTGCAAGACCAATTAAGTGGTCAAAGCACGAAAACACTTCTGAAGAAAAACATTTCGGTTACACAGACAGACAGATCCTAGCAAAGAGTATGTCGACAGTTTGACGACAAATTGCCGGTGTCCTGTTAAATTTTAGATGGCACGGGTTTTTTTTTATAGAAAATGTTAGAAAATGTTTTATAGAAAATGTGGAAACTATATTTCCCACACTGAGAAAAAAACAAACACGTTGTCAAACTAGACAGTCGAAACAAAAAACTACTATCCCTTGTTTCGCATAAAACAAAGATTTTTCGGGAGCAAAATACGTATGGGAGTATCGAATAACGAAGGAGTAGTTCTAGAAATGACATTTCTTGCGTGGACAGAGAATGCAATTTTTTTTCAACTACTAAATCTATTTTTGCGACGAAAATTTCTCATTCCGGCGCACTCTCTGCATGTTCGGCACAAAAAAATTCTTTTTTATAATTTTCAGAAAACTATTTTCTTGGCACAAGTAAGACTTGTTTGAGAACTTTGTCGTTTTTCTCTCAGTGCGGAAACTATTGAAATTCTCTTATTGTCAAATATAAAATCATCAGTCCTCATAAATCAGTACCCGGAGTGCACTCCACATGCAAAACACCTGTATCCCGGGCAACCCGTCGATGTTTCCGTTTCACGTGAGAAGCCCATCACCTCAGAAAAACTGCGCGTTCCATCGAACCCGGAAATACCCCAAAAATCCCTTAAATTGAATAAAAAGTTCGTCGCATCCCCCCACTATTCAAAATTATGATCTCGTGTGAGTATTGCATCAGCAATTTTGAAATAAACATCTTGTCACTCCGGGGAATTCATATGAATCATCTTTCCCTTGCAGTTGACATGGTTTACTTCTGCCATTGTCATTGCTCCCAGGAAAATTTGGGGAATGAGAATTGAGAGTTATTCAGAGAGATTAATCACAAGGAGGTAACACGAATGCTGCTTGGTATATCAGTGGGCATTAAATCACATGTATTATTCTGGTGTCACGAATGAGCGTAGCGTGCACGATACCAAAAACCATGTACACCGAATAAATATTATCGATTCAGGTACCATTAGCTGATGTAAATAGGCAAGAAAATATACCATGCATATACATTTATTTTGTGTTTGTGACAGGACAATTAGGTGGAATAGATATGCCAGGCATTCATTACATTCTGGGCTATTTTCAGGCAAATTGGTCTTGGGAATACCACAAATTTACGGCTGGGAGGAGATCCTGTCACGCAGTGCAAATAAGAAATAACTCCAGGTATCTTATGCAGGAATAAGCCAAAGTTTTTTAGTTAAGTCTAGAGTGGAGGTAGCTCGAGCTGTAAATTAGGGATTTAGAGTGGGAAAAGTTGGGTGAATTGAGGAAGTAATTAAAGAATGAATTGACGATGTCGTGGGGAATAAAAGAATTTTGAATTTTTATCAGTAATTGCATCAGCTTTGTGATGAGAGAGGTAAAACGGTGATGGAAACTTTTGAAAATTTATAATGTTAAGACTTGTAATAGACACAATTGCTACTTTTAATGATCGAAATGGGTGATTACACTCCCAATTATCAGTGTATGAGGTATTCCACGCCAAATGAGTCCACCGCTGACCCTCACCGTCTCGGAAATTAATGGCCATTTTTTCTACGATTAGAGGGGTTGGAAAACTATCTTTCAAATTTTTTCAGATTTTTTCTACAGCCCCGTTCAGAGATATGTTTTTTTTTTTCATTTTTCCGTTTTTTTTTCCAATAACTCGAGTTCGATTTATCCGATTTCAATTTAAATTTTCCATTTTCTACCGCCTATACGAGTATTTTTAGCAAGATTTTTTTTCCATTCCTAGACCGCTCATAATAATGATTTTTCGAGAAAAAAAAAGTTGAAAGTCTTGAATTTTGCAAATTACGTCAGGGTTAATTTTCAAAATTTTTTTTCAGTAATTCTTATAATCAGAACAAGTATTTTGAGCCGTCATTCAAGTTGAGCATCCTCTTGGATCTATTTAATTTTTAATTTTTTCATTTCGAAATTTCGCAATTTTGGTCAAAACACCCCAAAACGACTTCGATTATTCATCAAAAAAATATGTGATAGGTAAACAGTCAAATTCACTTCATACTGTTTATTAGTATGTACACTCACAGCATCAAATGCGTGATGAAAATTGGGGACAGTTCCGACATAAGGAGTTGAATAAACAATAATGAATCTTGTACACTGGGTCTGATGGCGTTATGAGTTCGAGAGAACAATTCACTGTAGAATTCAATGCAGAATGATGCACTCAATGTAATGCCTGCGACAATAATGGAATATCGAGACTAGCGAGAGACATATTTCAGTAGCGAAGTGGTAAAACGGTACAGCCAATTCTTACTATTCGCCAGTTTTCGATGAATATCTCGGAATCTAAAGGAGATAGCAAAATTTTTGTTATAATCTTTTTTGTAGAGCCGATTGAGAGCTACAACAAATGTAATAACGAAAATTTCGCTATCTCCCTTAGATTCCGAAATATTCCTCAAAAACTCAACTGAGAGATTAATCTCATGAGAAAGTCCATTTCATCTTTATTTGTTTCCTCGATATTCAATCAATATTGCATGAAATTTCCATGCTGAATGAAAAATCCGTTACTACATTGAATATTCAGTCACAGCCATTACCCAAATTTCCAAAAATGTCTAATGAAAATTTCCAAGTCTCCACTGCCAACAAAAACCGAAATTGTCTTTAAAAATCTTGTGATCATTAATAAAAATCCAAGAGTCTGAATTCACGGGAGATTGAATCAGAGATAAGAGAATATTTCCAGTAGATTCGAATAAATATTTCCAGTGGTTCGATCATGATCGCAGATAGGGGTGATGTGCTCTTTATTTTCTTCTGTTCTGCTCTCTCCACCCTTCCTCCCTAACTATAATTAGCTTCTCTCTGTTGCCTTTTTGGAGGAGCCTTCGTTTTTTTTTCAACCCCTGATGGGTCTTAATATTTATCCACGTGACGTCGCGTGCCTCGCTCGATGTCGTCGATGCGACCCCCGAGGACACGCCAAAAGGCTCAAGCACCGCTGCCATAAAGGCTGTTCTCCAGTCTAAGAATGTACTTCTGCGAGTGCACGCGGGCCTCGGGGATTATTCGATTAAGAATTATTTCGGGACATTTGTGAGGGAATAGTCAATCAAGATGTTGAAGGGACGGAGGGTAACACAATCTTCTTCCCCATTTTTTCAATTTAATTCTTGCATTTGTAGAATTTCTTCGCGTTCCAGTCAATTGACTTTTCTGTGATGTCCAGGGTGGGCTCAAGGGGAAGGGGAGGATGGCGAAGAAAGCTGCACCTGCAGCCCTCCAAACGGAAGTTTCCACTGATGAAGAGTGGGCGAAGATCATGGAACGAAAGGGTCTTGTTGGTAAATTTTGAAATTTTCGTGGGCTTGCGCGCGCAAAAGAATTTAAGGATGTTCGCGGAATGAAATTTTTTAGAAAAATTGTAGTGCTAGCACGGGAAGAGAGGCGCAATGTGAAATTTTATTGGGGAAAAAGTTTTTTTTCATTGTATTTTTCCCATCTTTTAATACAAAAAACATACAAAAAACTTGAAAAATTTGAGACCAGAAAATTCTGTAGAAAATATCTTAATAGAATAATTGTTGTATAGAAAAATCGAATTCGCTAGGTTTTCTGTTAAATTTTCCATACGTCCGATTGTTACATTTCACTTTTTGTTGAAATGATTTATTAATTTTCATCTCTTTTTAATCAGTTGTGGACGTTTATTCGGATTGGTGCGGACCCTGCAGTGGAATGGTCAGCATCCTCAAGAAAATAAAAATGGAAATTGGTGGTGATCTTCTCAGTTATGCGATAGTAAGGGCACAATAAATAAATAAATTCAATTGATAAATTCATTCTCATTGCTATTAAAAAGATTTTTTTCATCTAAAGTAGTTTCTATTGGACATTTTCAACACAAAACAAATACGTCATGAAGCTGTGGAATTCTTCAATAACTAATAAATTTTCAATACAAGTTTAACAAAAAGCCAACAGAATTTTCTATCGAATTCGCTAGATTTTTCTACGAATTTTTTTCGTTATTTTAAAAATAACGTTTTTCTCCATTGATCACTATTATTATTATTATTTTTAAAAATGTTTATTTTAGGCCAAGTGCGACAACATCTCGGACCTCGAGAGGTTCAGGGGAAAGAGCGAACCCACCTGGATGTTCATTCATGTAAATCTCTCAATTAAAATAATCCATGCAGAGAAATTTCTGAATTTTTCACAAAAAAATTGTTTTTGCTCTTCAGAACGGAATGATGGTGAACTTGATGTTCGGCGCATACTGCCCTGAACTTCAGAAAATGCTGACTGATGAGATTCATAAAGTTCAGAAGAATGAAGATCATGAATTTTGTATTCCGGTCTCAGAGAGAAGTCCTGAGGAGCAAAAACGGGTGAAGATACTTGAGGAGGAGAGGGTGGCTAAAGAGGCTGCTAAGAAGGCACAAAAAGGTTGGTTGATTACCCCAGAGTATGTAATTACAGAAATTAAATGAATTAAATTTCATAACTTCATTTACGAAAAATAAATGATTCAATTCCATCGATTCATCAGCGAACAATCGAATAAAATCTTTGTTACACGCATACGTACGGACACGGTCTAAAAAATTCATTTTGCATTAGTTGGATCATAATGGATCGATATAACACAAAAAATCCGAAACTTAAATTTGAACAATTACAAAGTTTCCATTAGGAAACAAAAATGTTAATTCTACATAAAAAATCAAAATTAGAGTCTGAAGCTGTGGCGAGATACGAAGCAGAGATGCATCACCTGATGACATCTCTCCTCGACGAGACCAGTCTACTTTTGTACCCCTGGGTCTTCAAGGACGAGGAGGGCCACAGGAGAGACAAGAGAGCGAGTCCACCCTACGTAGATTTACTGGAGAACGTTCTCCCCGATAACTACACAGTGGAGCAAGAGATCAGAAAACGACTGAATGAAGATTTCATCGCCAAAATATTCGCAGAGGTTCACTAAATGATGAAAATATTTGAAACGAATGTTTGATGATTCATGCAATTAATGGCCTTCATTGATGATTTTAGTCTGATTGGATAGTGACTCCGGAGGCCAAACAGCTTCTGACAGAAGGTAAATGCATGTTTATGCGACTGAAGGTGGGGGAGAACAGGCCGGAAATGGATGTGGAAAAATATCTGCTCAATTTATTGTTTGGTGAACCACGACTACCACTCATTGGCGACGACATTCCCGAGGGTTGGTATGTCTCCAAAGAGATATTATTAAGGCCCAGGTGGATTATCTTTCCAACGTGATCTTGATTGTTTTTATTTTTATTTTGATAATCAGAAATGATCTCCAATTGCTATTCAGTTTTACAAAGCCCTGGAGTCTCCAAAAATTATGATTGTACAATAAAAAAAACGCACAGGTAAATGTTCAGAACAACTTCCTCATTTTTATCTTTAATTATTATTATTATTATTGATTAATTCATGTATTTGGAGGGTAAATGTGTGTAAAAAACGTTGGAAAAAAACTGAACATTTTCAAAGAGCGTTTTTGAATAATATTGGGAAATAAACCCAATAGGGAGGAAATTGCAAATTAATAATTTGATGGATCCAATGGCTGTCAGGTCGTCATTTGTCACAGTAGTCAATGGCTGTCACATCGTTAGTTACCACGATAAATTATTCATTCACTATTTTCTCTCTATCGGACTTATTTCTTAATCTTTATTAACAAATGCTCCTTGAAAATGTTCGGTTTTTTCTACTTTTTTTTATTGTACAATCATAATTTTTAGGGATTCCTGCGTGATGTAAAATCCAATGGAAATTTTGTAATAAATTTCACATTATGAGAATGGAAAAACAATTGAGATAACGTTCGAAAAATAATCCAGCCGGGCCTTAAATAAACAGAAATATTGGAGATCTTTTTTTTATTCGTATGTTGGAGATCTACTTTTGAAATTTCAACGGGAGATAATTAAAATGAAATGAATGTTTTTATTGATAAATTCAGTATTTCGTAAAATATTCGGTGAAATTTCAGGTAAAAATTATAAATTACTCATAATTATAATTATAAAAATTATAATTACCCAAATGAATTTTTAATGAATGTCATTATCAAGTGTTCAATGAGTGAATACTTTATAATTATAATTACTCAAGTTTTGCAGAGCGCCACAAACCAGCCTCCATCCCCTTAGGAAAAGAGAATTTCATATTTCCGGTCGTCTGGGCGACTCCGAACGCCCTGAATAAAATAGCCCTCTTCAAAACGATATTCAAGAAGTATCTCGACACAACATTCCCCGTGAGTCATCTCCATTCCCTCAAGGATGTCACGGAGCTCATTGACCGAATATTCAAAATGATTGGAATCAAATTGAAATTTACGCATCAAATGTGTATTAAATATTGAGGAGGGTTTCAACACACTGCTCGATTTTCGAGAATACTTGAGGTTTCGTGACAGTATGATCCTCGTTATTAATTTCTCGATATTTCATTTTAATTGTTGGGCTGAAATGGCGACAGAAAAGACGAAATTTCATGGAATCTCCATGACATCCTCATCAAAAAATGACATCAAATAGAACTTGAATCGTCTTTAATCTTCGACAACTTGAGACCCACAGCGTGAAATTCAATTAATTTTATTCAAATTGAGGCTCTTTTCTTAAACTTTGAAATACATCCAAATCGTATCATTTAATAAAAAGATATTAAAGATTGAAGAATGTCAATTTCTGGCAAAAAATGACATCAAATAGAACTTGAATCGTCTTTAATCTTCGACAACTTGAGACCCACAGCGTGAAATTCAATTAATTTTATTCAAATTGAGGCTCTTTTCTTAAACTTTGAAATACATCCAAATCGTATCATTTAAGAAAAAGATATTAAAGATTGAAGAATGTCAATTTCTGGCAAAAAATGACATCAAATAGATCTTCGATCGTCTTTGATCTTTGATAACTTGAGATCAAAAGAGCGTAATTTAATTACTTCCTCTTCAATTTAAATCTTTTTCCATAAGTTTGGAAACAAGCCCAGATGTATTAAAATCGTATCATCCAATTAGAACATATTAAATGACGAAATTTCGTGGGATATCCATGACATCCTCATCAAAATGGCTTATGAATCACCAAAAACAATCATTGATACCAAAATTATATTTCAGTACGAAGACAAGACCGAAAAAGCTCCGATAATGGTCTTCAAGTTCGACAGCACACGAAAAAATGAACTCAAAGTAGTCCTCGCGATGCAGGAGTCCGAGGTCCTGCACTTCGGTATTTTCGAGAGGGATAAGCCCGGGGAGGCGAGGCTCCTGGCGAATTCCATTGAAGAATTCGACGCCAGTGCCGAGGAAAAGACTGGGTACGAGGCGTTCGTTTGCGTCGTGAGGAAAGTCGGCTCCGAGGCCTTCCTCACGTTCGCGGGCATCGGCCCCTATCATGTCAGTGAAAACCCAGATATTGCTGTTGAAGAAGCTAATGCGTACTTTCCGGAAGTACTTCCAGCCGATGAAGAGGATGATGACGAGGAGAAGTTGGAGGAGGGGGAGGTGGGGGGAGAGGAAGTGCGAGAGAATGGCGAGAAGATGAGTTGAAAGATTGATGAATAACTGATTCGTGATTAAAATTCAAGTAAATTTAGTTTTCTTTATGAAATTTTTGAGTTAGAGTTTTCAAAAATGATTTACTGTTTTTTAAAAATAAATTTTCATGTAGAGGTCTTTAAGTGTTGAGATGCAAAGATATTTGTGGAAAATTAGTGGAAATGTTGTTTTATTTCTCATGAGAAATGTGAAATTTTTCTTGAAGTGAAAATATAAGTAATTGAAAGAATTTCCCAGTAAAATAATGCCTAATAATCAAGTAATTTGGCATAAATATTGATCAATAATTAACTCAAGATTGATTTCAGGTTGTTTTTAAAATGAATTTTTTGAATTTTTTCCTATACCCTTTTTAGTGAAAAAAAAAATGTTTTCAATTTCCTTGTAGACATTTTCAATTGCTAAAACTCCAAGGTACTCCTGGAGAATTAATCGAAAAGTTAATTTAATTTTTCATGAGAAATATAATTGTTTTTTGTTGAAGTAAATGCAAGTAGATTTTTTTGCAATTGAGAATATTTTCTAGAAGAAATATCCGTTGATAATCAAGTATTTGTTCCTAAAAAATTAGCATTGATCTTGAGAGGAAGTAGGGGAGAGTGTCTAGACGATGAGTCGAGAGATTGACGAATAATTGACTCATGTCTGTATTTGGGTTTCATTTTTTCTCGTGAATTTCCCGAGTTTCTAAATTAAATACCGTATTTTGTTTCATTTTTCTATAAATTTTCACGCAGCCATCTTTAATCGTTGAAATTCCAAAATATTTCTTGAAAATTAATCAAAAAGTGATTTCATTTCGCATTAGAAGTCTGAAATCTTAGAAATTAAACTGTAACTTGAATTTTTTTGTAATTGAGAAAATTTCCCAGGAAAAAACTCTTGATAATTCAATAAATTTGAATAAATAATGCAGAATAATAAAATACGATTACCACAATTTATTTCTCCCAGCCCTTTCGTACACAAGAAAAACATGAGTTTGAATTGTTGTTGGAGGAAAAAATAAACCGAGGCAGAATGAATATAATCGTCTACTTCTTGTAGCCGCAGCTGCGCCTGCGACCACGAGCCCTCTCGAATTTCCTTCCCTTAGAGCGAACCAGGGGTTTCGTGTGGGAGTGAGGTACACCAGGAGCTGGTCCAAAGTGCTTGACAGCCTCACGTGCCTTACGACGTCCCTGCATGAGGACTGTCTTGTTACCTGTTGGTGCTCTCAGTGCCAATTGGTCGAATGTTATTATTTCACCGCCAGCCTTCAGGATTCGTCCACGTGCTTTCTCAGTTACACGGAGGGCACAAACCTGAATTGACCAGCCAATTAAACACATTAAACAATGAGCTAATTAATTAAATTAAGAAATATGATTAAATTAACAGAAATGTTAGATAATTACTCTTAAAATTTCAAGTGAAGATAATTAAAATCTTCAGCAACGACTGATTCATATGAAATTAAATGTATGTTATTATTCATAAATTCATGATGTTGTAAAATATTCGATGAATTTCCCCATTATACGCCCACATAAAAATCGTAATTAAGAAATTGTGCGCAAAATTCTACTTGAAATGAAATTAAAGTCAAGTTAAATTTTTTGAATCAAATTAAAGAACACTAAGTTTGACATTCATGTGTAATTGTCAATTAAATAAAAAATCCTAATAATCTGGTTTATGATATTTGAACGAGTAATTAATCAATTCAATCAGGAGATGTTTGAATTACAAGATCATAAGATCGCAAAATATTAATGAGAAAAATGTTTTCACAAGAACTGTTACATTTCCTTTAGAATTAAAGATTGTTAAAAATTGTTATATTAGATCTATCGAATTGTTGAGTTATTTCATTGATGAGTAGTTTTCTCTAAATTACTATAGAATTTCATGTCCTAAAAAAAGATTCTTGACTTTTTTGTGTGAAGCCAATTGAGTAATCGATGAATATTATTGAGTGTCTTTAAATTGAAGATATTTTCGATCGACAGATAATTTCATCATTTTAATAAATTTTCCATGTAATTTATGCCTAAAAAATATGCAATGTTGACCTAATTGTAGTGAATTTCACTGAGAATGAACTCACAGTCAACTTTGGAACTTCGAAGATCCTGGCGTCATCAGTGACTGTACCAACAACGACAGCAATGCAGTTCTCACGTGCTGGTTTCTTCATGAACCTCACGACACGTGCCAAGGAAATTGGTGGTCTGTGAATTTTGCTCATGAACAGACGCTTCAGGATGATCTTGTTGAATTTGGCATTGGTACGTCTTGCCAGGAAACGGTAGAGCTGTTTTCAGGGGAAAGAATATTTTGTTTTCCTCAAAAACAATCATTAATTCATGCCTATTAACTAAATAAATATAAATTTAATCCTTTATTTCACCGTTTTATCAGCATCCTTATTATTTTTTGAATTGTTGTTTGAATTATAGAATTTCTAAAAACACTCTAGACTCATTCTTCGATGCTTCTGGAGTTTTCTTGAATGAAAATATAATTTTAGCCGAATTTTTAAGGAATTAAACTCATTTTCATAACGATAAACTTCAGAATATCCTAGAACTTTGGCGTTTTTATTGTTGAAATAATTTTCAATATTTTAACAAAGAAAAACGAACTGAAAATACCTTTTGAAATCCTTAAGATTGCAATCTTATTCCATAAATAATTAGCATACAATCTATTTTCAATAATTTTTTCAAAATCAAATCAAACTTTTACATTTCATAAGTTCGTTGAAAATTGATTTCATGTCAAAAAATCAGGTTTCCAGAAGTTCAAACGACTTGAATTATTAATTCTTCAGAAATGAATGCTTGAAGAATAAGTAATTCTTCGCAAAATGGAACAAATGACAAATAATGGAATTAGAAATTTGCTCCCCTCATTCAGGAATTCAATGCTCCAGTAGAGAAAAATGATCTAATACCGAAAATCATATATAACGTATTATAGAGGTAAAACCAATTGTATCAGCTAGTATAATTGACTCTCAGTGAACTCCAAGAGCCAGAATAGGAAAGCCGACTACTCGTTTAATCTAGCGAACAGTCAAATTGGACCAGTCCAATATCGGACAGACACAGAGTGCAGTTCGCAGACAGAATAATTCCCCAGTTTTTACATTTTTCCCAATGTTCATAAATCATAACTCAGAGGGAAATTCATCAATTGAGCTCCGTTCAGGCTCCTCACAAAGGGGCAGAACGGTTTCCACGAGCAAAATCATGGCATTTCATTAAAATTGAATGGGTCATTGACATTAAAAACGGCGAAAGTGTCTATTTTGCTTCATTTGCCCCCAGAAGCATTGAATAAAGACGTGATTATCTCAACATGTGTATTGACACTTTCTGCATCCTAACCTAAAAGATCTCATCCTGCGTACCCCAAAAATTGCCCTCAACAATCAATAATTACGTCCCGAAGTCGCAATTGCAGTCCTTAACAATCATCTGACGATTGAAATATTTATTAAAAAACTTACCTTGACCAAAAGTCGCAGGTAGACATCCTGAGACTTGGGTTCAGTTCGCCGCACTTTGCGGTCGTGTTTATGGTTGATGTCGATACCCTGTGGATAAATACCATTGTCGTTTAATAAACAAACATTGTTAATTTCACTCGTTAATCATTGCATCGTCGGATGTCAACGCAAATAGCTGATTACAACGGATTTTAATCGACGAGCTATAAACTTCACAATGCCTTACCATTTTGACAAATCGGAAAAGAACCACGGCCACTCCGTGCTGCGCGCACGCCACGAAAAGAAACCGGAAGTTGGTGGGAGGTCGCTAGCTGCGGTCTATCCGCGCCATGCGCAGGGACTATTTGAATTCTTTCGCATAATTTATGCATAAGGGAGAGTAACTTAAATTGACAAAATGAAACAGTCGAGAAACGACTGTTTGACGCAATTCCAGCAAAAAATTCCATTTTTATTAAATACTTTTGTTTATTAACTTTTTTTTTATTAACTAGACTTGACTGATAAATTTTTGATAAATTCTTGTTCTTGTTTCTGAGTGATGAATATTAGAAAATGCCAAAAGTGTCCATTTTATCCCATTCTTCCCTATTCATGAAGTTTTTGAAGAAATTTCACAAAAAATTTGTATCAACAATTTTTCGACAATTTCGATAACTTGCAATAGAGTTTTTGTAGAATTTTTGGATGTAAGACCCCAAGACCTTCCAATTATCGGACATTTTCCGGAAATTTTGTTTGAATGCGGGAAAATTGATGAATTGTTAATGAGAATTTAACAAAAATGACTTCAAACGACAGAATGACCAATTTTGGAGTATGGGATGCACTGTTAGAAAAAAATTAAAATTGGATGGACCGACTGTCCGAAAATTACCGATTGGTAATTTTGAGGATACTGATTGCGATTTAAGGAACAAAAAATACCGAAATGCAGAATTTACTGAAAATTCAACGAAATTCCAAATTTTTCAACGGCACTGAGATGAGTGCCTCAACCTATTTGAATAATCAAGTACTGAATTACCACGCATTTTTAATTAATTGAAAATCCAATAATATATTTACCAGAATTTCCGCGATTTCTACTAATTTTTAGGGAATAATTGAACTTTAATTCACAGTTCAAATTCCCTGAAATTCGAGTGGAGCTAAAATGTGACAAAAATTTCCAAAAAATATGCCGGAAAATTCAGCTAGAAATTTTTAACAGCGTGTCGCAATCAGGCTATACGGTCTCAGTCATGTCAACAGTATAAAATTAATTTCCTTCTCCATTAATTTCCAATCTCCTTCTCTCCCCTCCAGGCCGCGCGAGAATAATAAACCCTGTTTTACCGAGGCGATACCAGGAAAACCGATGGCTTCTCCCCGTAAGATGCCTCCACCCACTCACCCACAACAGCAACCAACTGCTCCAGAATGCGTCAAGCTCTCCTGCCCTCGCCGGCCCCACGTGAGAGGGAAGAGACTATTCCCCGAGAGAGAGGTAGCATGAAACATCAGGACAGCGTCGGGCCAGTTCGGCAGTTCCAGTAGCTCGAGAGGCGCCGTGAAAGACGCAAGCCGGTTCGTTCATCACCTTGATCAACCCTTTCACTCCAAAACCCCTGATCCCCACAGCTCCAATCGACAATTCATCAAAAATAAGAGGACTCCAACCACCGATTTCCCTGAAAAAACCTAACGCATCGACACTTGCCAACGGCAATCCAGGCCCCGTGTTATCATTCCCGGGATTGCATTCGGAGTGCAGTGGTATACCGTGTGGTGTGCGAAATAAAGGGAGGGGGGTTCACCCTGCAACCCCTTGTATCAATGGGTCTGTTCGTCGCATTGCAACTGGGATGAAAGAATTCAATTTGGGGGAAGAGTTCAGGTGGATTTAAACGTCTTCAACATCTTCCAAATCTTGAAAAAGATTGAACTAGTTTTTTCAGTTGCAATTTTCTAATTTAAAACAATTCACTCATTTCTTATGGGATTTTACATCGAGATGTAATACTTTAATTTCCCTTTAATTGAGAGAATTCAATTTGGGGGACGAGTTCAGGTGGATTTAAACGTCTTCAAAATCTTTGAAATCTTGGAAAAGATTGAACTAGTTTTTTCAGTTGCAATTTTCTAATTTAAAACATTTCACTCATTTCTTATGGGATTTTACATCGAAATGTAATACTTTAATTTCCCTTTAATTGAGAGAATTCAATTTGAGGGAAGAGTTCAGGTGGATTTAAACGTCTTCAAAATCTTTGAAATCTTGGAAAAGATTGAACTAGTTTTTTCAGTTGCAATTTTCTAATTTAAAACATTTCACTCATTTCTTATGGGATTTTACATCGAAATGTAATACTTTAATTTCCCTTTAATTGAGCGAATTCAATTTGGGGGAAGAGTTCAGGTGGATTTAAACGTCTTCAACATCTTCCAAATCTTGAAAAAGATTTAACTTTTTTTTTCAGTCGCAATTTCTCAATTTAAAAAATTGCATTCATTTCGTATGGGATTTTGAATCGAAATGTAATACTTCATGTTAGAGTTCATGAGATTATGGTGAGGAAACTTTAGGTGGATTTGAATATGTTGAACGTTTCTTATTCAACAAAAACATTTCAAAATAAATTCTACAACATTCAAATAATATTTACTGTTATTTTGTGTTTAAATTCCCAATTTTGGAAATTAGAATATTTCTTCGGGTCAAATGGATTTTTTAATTGAAAGATCATGTGGAATTCATTGTTCGGAATGATTTGACTATAGAATTTTAAATCGAATTCTAAAATTAAATTTGTCGTTTATAATGACTTTACATTAAAAATTTATTGAAATTCATAAAAAAACCATTTCATTTCAATTAATTAACTTCATTCAAAAAGTTTTTTCGTATTAAATCCAAACGTCAAACGGGAGCTTGTACTCAATGCCAAGAGGAACGAGGCGACATAATATATTAAATCCACCAAATAATAGAGAAGCATCTTTGGGTAAATTTATAATAATCTTGAGTATCTTCCATAAAAAAACATCGGAAAATAATCTCCAAAAAATTATTTTTCATTTAAACTCCCAATTCATTCCGAAAACAATTCTGATAAATCCAAAACAATAATATTTATTCCAGAATGACAGGCTTCTATTCAACAAATTGATCTAAAAGTATCTTCCCGAAAATTCGCAGAATTTGAATTACTGTTAAATTGAAAATCCCAGTTAATAAAATCAAAGTATTTTTTCGTGGGAAATTGAATATTATTTTTTTTTGTTTAGAATGATTTTACATTGAAATTCATCAAATAGAGAAAAAACATGAGATGAACCATCATCTAATATTCTCTATTTAATTTCCTAATTGATAAAACCCACACATTACTTCCTCTCTACTAGTTTTAAATCGAAAAATAACATGAAATCTTTCGTTGAAAGTGATGTTACCTTGAACTCCATCAAATAATACTGAATAAATAACAGATTGGGATTTTCATTCTGAAGTCTTCTCAATCTAATAATCATCTAAACCTAATAAATCACGATAATCCCCCCGGAATGATTGAGCAATCCTGATAAATAAAAAACAATAATATTTACACCAGAATCATGGACGAGGATACGGTGCGTCCGAGTACCCTGCTCGAGGAGACATTCTACATAACATCGAAGAAGAACACCTATTACAGAGTTAAATTAAGTGATAAAGGCCTGAGCCTCCAGAAGGAGAGCAACGGAGGGACGAAGACAGAGACTATAGGATTGAACGATATAATCGGATGCAGATGCATGAGATCCAAGAGGAGTGCGGGGAGTTGTGCATGTCGTCCAAGTGTCTCCAAGAGTCAACTGAGACTCGTGGAGTCCTCCTCCGAGGGCTTCAGCACTTGGGACGAACTCGATACCTCGGTTTATCTCTATATTTACGCGTATACACTTAAAAAAGCGCGTGTTAAGGGCGCGAGGAGACGCGAGAGAACGACGATAACACTGAGGTTTCGATCGTTCGATAAGTATGAGGATAATTTGAGGGAGGCTAGCCGCTGGAGGCTGGCTATCAAGTGTCTTGTTGGGAGGGTCACGATACCCTGGAATCTCATGAGCCCCAGTCACGGAAATCTCAATGATTTATTGAATGGTGAGTTGAGTTTTTGTTTTTTTTTATTCGGAATTTTGTGTCATGAGGTTTGTTTTCACCTCCGAGTGGAAGCATTATATGAGTCAAACCCCAAATTTCCTATTTTTCGTGGCAGGGTAACTAATTTTCACCTCAGGAGTTCCAATATACTATTTTTAGAATAATTTGTTTGTCAACGATTAGTGAAAAAATTATTAGCAATATCCTTCAAAATAACTGTACTATATACAATACAAGAGCAATTTCCCACTTGTTTTTTAATTTTTATCATTGTTATTTAATGATGAAGAGAAGATCGTGTTTTTCAATTTTTTAAATATTTTTCTACTTCGAGTATTTCAAAGCGTTTGGTTTTTTCTGCTAAAAACAATTTTAAAAATCAAAATACAAAGCTTGACTCTTGATCATTTTTTTCTAAATTCATTAATTCTTAAGACAATTCTTCGAAGGTAAACATGTCAGGGGTCGACTAGTTTAGAACGAATAATTAATTTTTTTAATAGGAGAAGAATCCAGTTTTTTTAGAAAAAACTCAGGAAGAGTAGGACTCCAGGTATTTTTTTTCGCGACGACAGCAATTGTATCAAAAAAACTAGTTGATTATGAAAAAACCTGCGGACTCACTGTCTTTTTCCATTCTATAAATATGCGATTATCTCGAGAGCCAGTGGTTCTACAAGAAAGTGTCATAAAACATTTTTTGTAGAGAATGTTCTCAGCCGTAAAAAATATTTTCAGACTTTTTCTCTCGAAACAACTAGTTCTCAAGATATTTACGTGCTCTTGATATATCTCCGCAAAATTACAATTATGCAATTGTCTAAAAGACGATTAGTCTTAGGGGAAAATTCCGCGAAATAATTTTTTACCTAGGAAATTCTCTACCAAAACTTCACTTCCATTTTCTCCTGGAACATTTCGTTCTCGAAATAATTTCATGATGACAAACGCGTCGCACGTCGACTCATCTGGATGTTGTGAATTTTCAGGAATTCCTCATTTACTATTTCTCCACCTATTCATTATCTTTGGGTTAATCTTCCCAACACAATGTCCTTCAATGTGATTCATTACTTTTTTCTATGTGTATCCACCGACAAAAGTAATTTTATAATGAAAAAAAAAATAACATGTACTTTAGTCGATGGTAATAGAACAGAGGTAGCCAATTATCTCCACAGCCGATCATCAAAACATGGATTTACTCGCGCACGAACACGTTAAATCGTTTTTTCTTTCATTTGTTGCCGAGAAAGAGAGAGGGGGAAGATCCACCGGACGCAGACACGTGTGTGATGAGCAGGGGGTATTATGTAACGAGCGGAATAGGCGCTGAGTCTCTCAACTCGGCACCTGCCTGACGAAAAACCGGGCTCCGATGATTCCGAGTCTTTGTTTTGTAGATGCAGACATTGAAAACTACGAAATAAATTGTTTGAGAATTCACGAAGAATTTAATGAGTCGAAATATTTCCTTCGCTGGTAGATGATGATATCAGTAGCGAAGTGGCAAAAGGGTTCAAGTCGACTTATTTCCCAGTTGAGTTTTTCAGGAATATCTCCGAATCTAAGGGAGATAGCGAAATTATCGTAATTACATTTGTTGTAGCACTCGATCGGCTCCACAAAAAAGGTTATAACAAAAATTTTTCTATCTCCCTTAGATTAGGAGATATTGATTGAAAACTGGTCAACCACTTCGCTACTGATATATTCGTTACTTCCGTCGCAATTTCAACCGAACAATCTGAATTAAATATCGAGAAAATAAATGAAGATGTAATAAACGTGCATTTCCTAATGAGATTATATGCGGCCTCATGTGTTGAAACCCTCCCCAATTTTCATTACGCATTTGATGCTGTTAATCAAAGAAAAACTAATTTTTTTTGTCGAACATTTTGAATTTTTTATTCACATGTTTTATTTCTTTGAAATTTGATGACTGGGAATGTAATCACCCATTTCGATCATCAAATTCGTCAATTGAATTACAGGAGACAAATCACTCTCAAATACTAAATTTTTACATGTCTCATTACTGATTATGTAATTCTTCGATAGTCATATCCGGTCTGAATTACGCATTTGATGCTGTTAATGGAAGAAAAACAAAATTTTTTGTCGAACATTTTGAATACTCGATTAGTGAGATCTCCACAACATCATCAACATCAAATTTCTATCACCTCTTCACCTTTTTCATTGTGCTGAAGATTAATGGGTTGCTCAGGGCCACTGCCCCATATTTGGGCGACACTCAACGTCGACTCGAATTGTCCTCTTAAAAATCCCACTCGATGATTAACCCACAATCAAGTGCAGTTTGCGGGAAAAATTTTCTTTCAACTTATTAAGGAGACAATGACTAATAATTACGTTCTGGATTGTTTGTAGAGTATAAAAAACAGCGGATCAAAGTTCTGTTCTGTCATGTCCTGTGCGAGATCATACGATAATTTTTTCTACTCACGTCATGGACTCTGAGCGAATTGATCTGAAGATCAACAATGAGAGCGAGATATAAACCCACATATCAGGTTTGATTTTTCGAAATTTGATGAATGGGAATGTAATCACCCATGTCACTCATTAACAACAGAAATCCAAGTGCCTGTAGATTTGAAGATTTTCAATCATCAAATTCGTCAATTAAATTACAGGAGACAAATGTCAAAATTGCATTTGAATTAAATTTCGAAAAACTTCGACTTGTTTCCAAACATTTACCGATCAGTAAGTCCCAGAAAAACCTTGGACTGAGTAATAATCCTCCACAGTCTTCCCTGGATGATCAACCATTCCATTACTCCTGAAAAAGTTGATCACCTTGGAGGGCTCAATTACCCTTATCGACTGAATTTTGATCGATTCCCCTCACATCAATCCTCCGAGGGACGAGTTTTGCGAGTGACCCGGTCAACGATTTATGAGAACAGAGAGAGAGGGAGAGAGAGAGGTTTCAACCAACCCCTTCTGTATCTAACTCAACCCCAGCCCAAGATCAAGCCTCGTTAATTTATCGTGAGCCCCTGGGCTTCATTGCCTCGCGTGTGTGCAACCGTCCAGCTACTCTCTGCGTCACAGAGGCACTTCGTTTTGGTTCAACCATATGGAATTAATCGATAAAGGGAAAAGCCCAATGTCCAAACCCAACTGTATCAATTGGCCTCGAAATATGAGTTCGATGGAAGAGAGGATGTGTCCAGAATAAAATCATTTTTACATTTTATTCGGCTGAAAAAATTTCACGGCCATTTTCTGGGGAGAGTTTCAAGAGCTATAAAAGATAAGAGGCTTCATGATTATTTTTTCGATAAACCCAGCGGATTCAGAGTTATTTACGAAATAGTGTAGAATTAATAAATTAATGAAATTCTTCACATTGAGATATTTTTGTGGATATCTCCCAAGAGAAGAGACTTGGCGAAAAATATCAAACGTTATTTTTTATAGAAAATTTAACGAGCTTCAAAAAAGATCTTCCGATATTTTTTCGTAAAACCATTCATTTTCTAGATATTCACAAATTTAATAATAATTCAACGCCTTAGCTGTTCCCTGAGTTTTCGAAGAATATCTCGAGATCTAAGGGAGATAGCGAAATTTTCATAATAGCCTTTTTTGTAGCTCTTAATTCGCTCTATAAAAAAAGTTATAACAAAAATTTTGGTATTTGGCCTAGATTCCGAGATATTTATTGAAAACTGACCAATAGGCAATGAGAATGTCCAATGATTATTAAATCATGTAAATAAATAACTAATACCGTCCAAAAAATTACTATTCATAATAATCTCCCTAAAATTGCTGTTCTGTAATGAAGAATCCGCAATAACTCATCTCATCTCAATACAAATACCTGATAAATCAAAAACATTATCTCGAGTGTCTGAAGTTCATCAGAAAGAAATCTCATGTTTTTTGTAATCAATTCTGAATAAATGCATTGAAAACACTTCCTCCTGTTCAAAGATCGAAATCCACTCTTGCATAATCACAAATACTGAGACTGTCTCAACACCTGCCAAATTTGGTAATAAACTGGCATTTCAAATGTCCCCTCCACCGCTGAATAACGAACCACAAAAATTGGCGAGAGAAAAAAAAAACTATTGGCAAACAGCCAGAGGTGGATCATTGTATTAGACCTAACAGCTGTTTTGATTGAAAAATAAATTCTGTCCTCCTTCCTCCTTTTCTCTATCCTTCATTAGCACCCAGTCTGTTTAATCTATCTCCCTCTTCATACTGTTGAATGAGGCATTTATCTACGAGTGAACTAGTTAACTCAAACTCGTGCCCAATCTCTGCACTACGAGCAATCACACAAGTTGCACATTCCATTGGGTCTTTCGACCCTTGATATGTGCCTTTTCGTTTCATTTTTCATTGATAGGATATTTAGATAAAATCTCGAGGGTTTACTGTACTCAATAGAATTGAAGGAGAGCTTCAGAAAAATTCTAAAGGATTTTCGGATTAAGAGGTCTTGGGGGGTAAAAACTACTGAAATGCGAGAAAAACTTTGCGCAGTGAATTCTCAGCGAAAAGGGGATGGAAAAATCTGAATGATGGCTCGAAAAATTTGTTCATTCTATAGAAACCAGATAAAGTGAGTGGGGGGAGATCTGAAGAGGATAAATAATTTTAATAACTGTTTAAAAATACGAGGTGGAGGCGCCATTTCTGAAGTTCCTTTTTTTATTGAAAAATAAATTCTGTTCGCCTCCGTCTTCTTCTCTATCCTTCATTAGCATCCAGAATTACACATTCCCCATAAAAAAGTCTCGTTAAATTCTCATCAAAGTCTGATTGAATTGCAGAGATAGAGCAAAAATTTAATCTAGAGAATTTTATCAATTTGATAAAAATTCCCCGTCAGTAAATTGTATTCGATGACTTCCAATGCAATCCAGACAAACGATTTATCCTTAAACCACAAAAGAATGCTCATTTACGCGAGATTTATTTCCCACAAGGAATTGCAGAAAACTCGC